TTGGTTGGTTGGTTGGTTGGTTGGGGGGGGGGATCGAGGACGATGAGGAGGAGGAGGAGGAGGAGGGGGCGGCGGGGGTGTGTGGGTGTGCGTGCGTGCGTGCGTGCGCGCGTTTCTAAAACTTTTAATGTTCGTCGACAGCTCTTCGCACGGTGTGCACGAGGCAAGTGACAAGAAAAAAAAATAACGTAACCCGTGCAACAACTATTCATATAGTCATATACTCGAATCAACCCGCAGTTTTGAATATGTTTTGTCAAAGAATTTGTTAATCGAGTCGCAATATTGCACACGCAAGACAATGGTCGCTGTCTATTCGTTTTGTAGATTGTGTCTAACTAGGATCTCTCTATTTCTGAATTTGCGTTGAAGCTGAAGCTGCGATTGTTCGCTTGTAAATGAAATATTCAATATCTAGGTGAATTTTAAATTATTAAACAGCAATTATAGCTATGTTTTCATCGTGCATATACTATTTTTTAAAATACATATTTCACTAAAGTACCGCCATAATTTGAGCGTCAACTATTAACATTGCGAGTAAGGCTTGAAAATAGGATATCAACATTTTGTCGCATAAGAAGTTGAATGATCAAATAATGACTCCAATTAATCGTGCAGCCAAATACCATCTTACGTATTAGTACGATATGTGGTTTCTTTTTTGGGACCAATAATATATAATAAAGAAATGAATAAACAAACAAACAAATAAACAAACAAAAATAAATAAATAAATGAAATAAATTAAATAAATAGATGAATAGAAAGAGAAGAAAATTAAGTATATGCTCTCGCGATTCTTCTACGCGTAAAGCTTATAAATTTTAAATAATTTAAAAATGTAAATGAAATTAAAATCCATTTATTGCATACATTTATATGCATAAATCTTTGTGTAATTCAAGCGATTTTAATATGTTAAAGTCAATGTAATTGTACATATAGGGCGTGCATATGTAACTAATGATTTTAGATTAAAAAATAATTGTTAAAGTGATAATTTTTTTTTTTTTATTTTAATGCTTTATTGTGCAAATAAGATTATTATCTTGTAAAATAACAATGACAAAACTACAAAACAATTGAACTAGAATAATATATTAGTGTAATATTACTACTGCTGCATAAAAAAAAAAGAAAAAAGAAAAGATGAATTGTATATCGTATGTTGAGAATGAAGAAAAATCGAGCAAATATGTAGTTGAAAATTTTATTTTCCATCCGTCCGATGAAGACGATTATTTATTTATTACTCGGAATAGTTTCAGCTTCAGCTTATAGCCGCAACTCGATAGCATACAATTTGTCAATCAACTGAATATATATAAATATTAGAATGTTAGCTTCTTTTTCTTAATCGTTATAAACGTTTCCAAATATCATCAAGTCAGATGATGATAGAATAAATATTAACGTGTTAAATGTATTTAATTAAATTAAGATAATGTTACTTACAGAAACACGTTCATATATCATAGGTTGACAAATTTGTATAGTTTATAGTCTCGAATATTTTCTTAAATTAATCGTACGGCGTAAGCGTAGTGAAATTATAACTTACTTAATTGTTCTGCGAAATGATTAATCCAACTATCGATTCAGGCTTATGTTAATTTGTATCGAATCATTAATCCGAGCAAGCATTAAAGTACACATTGTTTATTCATTTCTTGTCTTTCAACAATTCATGCAATTAACGATCAATTTAAATTGAAAATATTCGTAGATTAAAAGATGTAGTAGTGAAATAAATGCCCGAGGCCTTATCATACCTTATATTGAGTAAATGGACGCGGAACAATAAATTTATTGGATGATAAATCTGCAACTTATATTGCACGACTCTAGTAAATAAATAATCTAACGCTGTGATCGTTATGCCGTTTTCATGAAAGCGGACCAGGCGATATTTTCTCCAATAAAAACAGAGTATCTTTCTTTAAAATTTAGGAGAATTTATCGCTTGAAGAAACAAAAACAAAAATAAGGAAATAATAATAATAATAATAACAACAACAACAACAACAACAACAACAACAACAACAACAAATGACAAAATTATATATCGTACTTTTTTTAAAAGATAAACATTTTGAGAAGCGAATCAGGCGCGGGAAGAAATATGTTTTGAATAGAAAACGTTAACAGCCTGTGTAATGCGCGACATGAATTATAAAAATATAATAATAAATGCAACAGATCACTTTTCCTCCTTCTTCTTCTTCTTCTTCTTCTTCTTCTTCTTCTTTTTTTTCGCTTTTTTTTTCTTTTCATTTTTTAGAACAGAATAAAGCTCCAATTTATTTGTACATAGTGTATCATGTTTAAAGAATTTATATATGGAATGACAATTGAAAATTATTATTATATTATTAATATAATTATGTATTTAATAATTAAGGACATACTGATAGTATCTTTCTTTGTTGTCAGAAGATAATAATTTCTAGATAAATATTTGACCGGAGAGTAATGTATTTTTAATCAGTTAATGTGGATCAGATGTTTTTCCTCTTTCATGCAAAAATATAATAGAATGCACCAGTATCGCTGTAGTTTCTTTTTTTTTTTTTTTTTTATTAAACTTATACATATGCTTCCTTATTTTAATAAAAAATATTCAGAAAATATTATATGATATCGTAAGCTATTTTATATATATATATATATATATATATGCATGCATGTATGTATGTACACAAAGATGAAAACAATTTTAATTCTCGTTGTAACTTCAAGGATTCGTTAACTTTTCAATATGTCTAGCCGCATCCTTTAATTTAAGAACCAATTCTTGAAGCTCCTGAATCGTGCACATAAATTGAACCGACTGAATATTGCCATGTTTCATTGTGCTAAGTGAAATATTATAGTTTGGAATTCCAGCAGAATCATTTATACTAGACTATTTCATGTGGCAAAATATTAATTATTTTTATTAACCTATTTGTCATATAAAATATAATACAATAGTTTTCTGTACAAAATACCTTAATACAATAATCTATTCGCCAATCAACATCAATGATATGTGGTAGGCCATTACCAATTGTTTCCAAATTTTCTTGAAGTTGCTCTTTATAATTAGCATGAAATTGACAGAATTTATCAATATGAGCTTTCGTCAAAGCTGTGCATCTTAATAATTTGCTCAACTCTTCTGAACTTGTGTCGTGTCTTGCGGCCTCGATAAGTAACTTTATAACATCGGCGTAGGCAGTTTTAATAACATCAGGCTTTGAACGACATAATTGCGTTAGAGCTACATCAAATAAATTACAAATGCATTATAAATTTCTATCAATAATATTTAGTTAAGAATTTGTTAAATATATATTTTTATATGAAAGTGAACTAGCACATAATTGATGTAAAAACCTAATAGTATAGTATTTAACAACAATAAAAACAAAAAGACAAACAAAAGTTTCAAAGTAAAAATCCATTTACAAACGATAAATATTTTAAATATCTTTAGTACTTTAATTACATAAAAGCACTGTAAGAGTATAACAATTTTATAAAAATTGCACTTTAAAATTCACATTTACGAATATCCAGACTAACTATTGTTTAATTATAACGTAAATAAATTACATTAACAAAATCATTAAAAAAAAAAATAAAAAAATAAAAAAAAAAAGATGTCAAACAAGATAATATTTAACAAATACAATTGTTAATTAATAAAAACAAGACAGTAAATTAAAATAAAAAGTAAGTACAAGACATAATAAAACTTCGATGTCAAATGCAATACCTTCACCGTCAGATTTTCTACACAAATGTGATACGGCGATGCGTATCAATTGATCGAGTGTCTCGTCGTTCAATTTGTTTAAATTTTCCCCGTCAATTAGACTCTTAACTTTATCCTCCGCGAGTTCCATAATTCAGAATTTAGGTTAGAATCAACATTCGCCTAATTAGAATTATCGGTTTGCTTATTGTGCACATGATCAGTGCGGCAATGGCAACTACGCGCGATATATATTTAAATTATTAAATTATTATTAATCGTGAGATGTACAGTAACGTAGGCGTGGTATTAAATATTGCGTATGACGTAAAATTTTTAAATAGAATATAATTGCATTTGAAACGATGAGTTGTATTATCGTCATTGTTATGCCCTACAGGACGAATTATTTCAAGTCCTATTTAATACATACGTTAACAATTTTCAATATAATTAACCATGTTTTTGTAATTAAGTATTTTCTGAAGTAATTTCGTCATCCTTTCGAAATACCGAGTAATGGAAAATTCAAACTATTATGATAGTCTTTTATAAATAATTTACGTTGCGTTTGAACACTAATAGTTTGAAAGTTTAACAATAAAAATGAGTTTATAATTATGCGCCCTCATTAGTCATTAATTATTGAGAATTAATTGTGAAAACATTATGATTTTAATTGTTTTCTATAGAACTTTATGTAGCTAAATTATGAGCAGTTACAAATTCAATCGTTAAATAAAAATAAACGCATTCTTGCACAATATTTATTCATTATTTTATTTACTTACATTAATTGTATATAATATAATGTATGTAGGAATAAGTGTATTCATCCCGAAATGCGATTTAATCGCAAATTAAATAGTAAATGAAATAGATTATTATCTATTGAAATCTGTACTCAATTATGTGTAGTTTGATAAGGCTACAGATATATGTGTGTGTACATATATATATATATATATATATATAAGCATATAAACATGCGAATTCTCGTGAATAATTACTTGTTTAAATCATAAATGTATGTTAAAAATTATTTATATATATGCGATGGGAAAAAACAAACAAACAAATATTCACGTATTGACGTAATGATGTGCTTAATCGCACATACTTACATAATTTTTTACACAAATAATTATAACTTGTTATATAGTTTAAGGTTTAAGTTTAAATATACGCGTGAGATAAGATAAAATGTAATAGCTCAATGATTTAAAAATAATATGAAATTAGATATGGTTATATTCTGTCATTATATTTTTTGTTCTTACAAGTGCAAGGTAGGTCACTAATTATATGGAATAACACAGTTTATAATTTTTTTTAATTATTTGGCTTCCACAAGGGCATATAGAGATTTCATATATAATTAACAATAATGCATTGTCATTCATTTTCATTGAGTTTTAAAGTCCTTTCATAGATTTTTTATGTTTAGCATTATAAAACTGTTTGAGTTTATTTTGATATAAAGTTGTTGCACGACATTTTTTTATATAATGACATTAAAGCAATAATTGTGCTTTGTTTATTAATAAAATTTTATGATGATTTTTTTTTTGTTTTTGTTCTTTTTTTTTTTTTTAACAAAATCAATGTGGTAAATGATTTTCTTTTATAATTTAATGATTTAATTTTTTTCAAATTTATAAAAATCCTATTATCATCCTATATTACTATTATAACTTGCAGAATGGAAAAGGATAGAGATGAGTCTTCTGAAAAACAGAGTTTGTGCATTAATTCAAATAAATTGGACGACAGTGTCAAAGACAATTTAATCGAGTAAGTTGTTTTTACGTCATACTTAACATTATCAGAAATTGAAATTAAATTCTATCGCTATTATGCACGTATACACAACATTTTTCACATATTGTCTGCACTCTTAATAGTTTGAGCACTTTAAAATAGAAAAATCATGCACTGTAATTATAATTTTAACTGTCTCATATTAACATATTAAGTAATGTCTTATTTGCATTAATACATCAATAATTATCAATCAACTCATAAGAATTATACTGCCTTTCTCTCTCTCTCTCTCTCTCTTTTTTTTTTTTTTTTTTTTTTTTAAAGATTGCTCACAATGAACATTGATCAATGTTATTCAACATATAATGTTTACAAATGTACACAAAGTGTATTCTTACTCCGAAAGTAAAATTAATGTTGTCTTAAAATTAGTCCAATAGCTACGATGAAGTTATTCATTAAAAAGATTATGAATAATTACATTTAAAAGTAGTGAAACAAATGTGAGAATTTATAAAATTGTTGTACAGCTATGTTGTATTACGTAAGAAAAGTATTTTTTAGAGAACAACTTAATGGATTTGATACACCAATTATTCGTAAATATTCGTTTAGACATATTTTTCCACAGGTACAAATGCTTCTTTATAAAGAATAATAAATGTTTTTTTCTATTGTAATATCATTGTCATTTTTATTTAAGATTATCGTAGGATGTATAGCACATTGCATTGTCATTCAAGTTGGAATAAATATGGCTTACAGTACAATTTTGGAAGATGGTTTAAAGAAAGAATTTTCATTAACAATCGACCAAATATCTTGGATCGGTAAAACAAATACTATGATTCTTATTATTAAATTATATTTCTTAATAAATGATTCTTGTGACTTTTTACATTTGTAAATATGCACTCAGTCTTATGTAATTTTCATAAAATATGTATAATATTATTTTAAACAGCAAGTTTGGTTACGATATCAGTTCCCCTTGGGTCATTAATCGTTGGACCATTGATGGATCTATTTGGACGTAAAAAAATTTGTTTGATTTCTTGTATAATAAATATAGTATCATCTATTATTTTGGTGCTAGCCAATTCTGTTACTTTAATTTATATTGCTCGAGTAACTGCTGGTTTTTCAAGTGGACTGTCGTCTGTCAGTATTGTGTATATATCAGAAATTACACATCCACAAATTAGGCCCATGTTATTGTGCTTCAATTCGGTGTTTGTGTCGCTGGGCATTTTAATTACGTATTGTTTTGGAATATGGCTTACTTGGAACCAAATGGCAATAGCATTTATATTACTGAATTCCTGTGTATTATTTATACTATTATTCATTCCTGAAAGTCCATATTGGCTTATGTACTTTGGAAAGAAGGAATTAACAGGACATATAAATCAAATTGAAAATATATTAAGATTATTAAATAAATCCGAAGAAGTAAGTAAAGCTTTGTTATACAAATGTGTGCATCTCAAGCGCTTAATTGTTAAATGTGAAAAATTTATATTTTGAAATATAATAAAATATTTTTTGACAGATGTATCGAGAAGAGCTTCGGCGTATCAGTGCAATTTCAGAGAAGCAACATACAGATAATGAATTGAAAAGTTCAATTACCAGAAGACTTTTATACTTTTATGAACAATTAAAACATCCGACTGTTTATAAACCTTCAATAATTTTATTTACATTGTTTTTAATACAGCAACTTACGGGCTCATACGTAATTATATTTTATGCTCTCTCTGTATTTGAAAATGTTGGGGGAAAATTTGGTAATGGATTAGATAAATATGGTGCAATGGTTATACTTGGTGTTATTCGATTTCTTTTGAGCATCATCGCATCTTTATTCAGCAAAAAATTTGGCAGACGTACGCTCTGTATAATAAGTAGTTTAGGAATGGCTTTTTCTATGTTTTTTTCAGGAATGTATATCTATCTTACGTCTTCCTACGATGAAAATGGTAAACTTAAAGAAATTATGGTTAAACAAAACTGGGTAATACTTATTATCATACTTTTTTATGTGAGTACAAGTTGTTTTGGATTCACTATTATTCCCTGGACATTAATTGGTGAATTGTTACCGATATCCGTCAGAGGAGTTCTAGGAGGAATTATGATATCTATTGCATATATAATGATGTTTGGAATGATAAAAGGCTATGTATATATGATGGATGAAATGGGTGCACAGGGAACATTTTTCTTTTTCAGCGCTGCTTCATTTATAGGTGCTGTTTTTGTATATATTTTTTTACCAGAAACATTGGGAAAATCATTTTCAGAAATAGAGCAATATTTTAGTAAAGATGGCGAGGAAGAATTGCCCACCGAAAGAATTAATACATAGCTGTCTATGCTAATTTCAATGCGCATTTTACTATTTAATAAAATTGTAATGCAGTCAGTCTTGAATACATAATATACCATGTATCGATCATAGTGGCTATAGTATTAAATTAATTCTAAATCGCTGTATTACCTAACATTGTAATATATTTTTTATGTACAGCACGTTGTACAATTGATTAAAATAATATTCAAAGTATTTTTTAATATATTTTATACTAAATATGTATATAAATGAATGAAAAACAAAAGAAAATTTATTGAAATATAATAAAGTGATTATACGAAAGTCAAACAGCACAATTTGTTGTTTCACATAAAGTACAATATTAGGGTATAGGAAATTGCAGTTAAAAAATTGAACAAAATTGTATAAAGATCAAATTAAATGTAAGAAAATGTGGAAATGATTATCGCCTAATACATCACAGTGTACTATTAATAAGGAACTTCAAGTCGAGATGGTCAATGTAATTAGTTGAGAAGAGCACTTTTTTTTTTTCTCCGCTCTTATTTATTAATATCATAATTCAATAAATCTCACATTTTGCTATGCGTCTTGGTTGAATGAGTAAAATGAGTAAATATTGTCTTAAGTAAACGTTTGAGGTAAATTTTAAATCTTAAGTAAACATATGAAATGAATTTTATATCTTAAGTAAACATTTGCTTATAAAATTTATCGAGCTTAATTAATTATTAAAATCGGAATTGCAATTGTTACATTGTATTATAAATACTTTGTCGATTGTTAGTTAAAAAAGTAGACCAGAAATAATTTAATTACAAAAACCGATAAAAAAAAAAAAAACATTATAAGAAACACATTCAGTGCTTTACTGTCATCACCTATTTCACGATTAAAGCTTTATCAACTTTAAAATAAAAATGTTCGCACTTTATTGCCTCTATTTTCGTACACTATCGTATTTTTTTTATTTACCTAACTTTGCTATCGAGGCGATTCGTTTCATTATATTCACCTATATATTTGCATGCATTTTTCGTTTAATAATTGGGAACATAACATCGACTATTCATGTATAATATCAATTTAATAATTATTAGTTTGAAAGGAAAATAAAATTTTACCACTACTAACGAACATTATGGAAGGAAAATATAATATCCCGATTTCACTCTGCAGTAATTAAATAAAACTTATATGAATGTGTGTGCATGGGCGCACGCGTGTGCGTGTGCGCGCATGCATTATGTGAAATTCTGTTGGAAATTACGTTCAAATTTTTCGATTATATCAAGCGTATTTTGTTCCATATGTATTCATTATTATTTAAAATAGAAACGCAACTGTCAACAACCTGTTTACCTGCACATTTTCTTTTTATATGCGGGTGCATTCACGTTATGCATACGTATTTGGTGCACGTCTGCTGTTTATCTAACCTTATATACTAATTCCAACTCGAAGGAAAAATGCACTTTGAGATTGGAAATCGTTGGACAATCATTTAACAGGATTTTAGACGTTTTTGTAAGAAATGAAATTTTGGCGGTACAAGATAAGATATATAATTTACGCTTTTTATGCGGTTGTTATCTTAATTATTATAAAGCGTATTTCAGTTGTAAGTGTTTACAATCGCGTTCAAATAGAAAATATATGGCTTGAAAATGGTACGACAAATTACGAAAAAAATGAAAGGTAAGAATTTGACGATTGTTAACATAATTGACGATTGTAAAGTAGAAATTCATTACAGGTATGAACAGTGGATCAACGAATATGTTAAAGGTATATCGCGCAAGCTAGGTGAATATGGTAAGCCAGCTTACCTTAATGGCGAAGAGAAAATTAAAGGAAACGAGATCCTGAAAAAGAAGGCGGTCAATATAATTCTTTCAAATAAAATATCCTTCCAAAGAAAATTACTAGATATCAGAGATCCGCTGTGAGTTATGCTTTAATAAATAGAAAGCTTTTTAGTGGATTAGAAGCATTAATTGAAAAATATGTTTTCATTTCATTTTAAATACAGATGTAAGAATGTAACGTACGACATTGTCCTGCCTTCCGTAAGCATAATTATTATATTTCACAATGAAGCATTCAGCGTACTCTTACGCACGATATACAGTGTGCTAAAAGAGACACCACCAAAGCTCGTTCGAGAAATCATTCTGGTCGATGATAAAAGCGACGAAGGTAATATTAGAGATACTTTCGATACGTTAGTGACAATAGAATATTAGTATTGCTTTAGTCTTTTGTCAAACATTCGATTTGGATAATTCAAGCGAGCTTGTTTTTCAAATTTAGTACGATACATCTGTGACATAATTTTTATTAAATTTTAATCAACTTTATATAAATTTATTTTTCACCATGGATTCTGTGGTTTGGAATAAACTAAATAGATATAAGTGTAAAATCTAGTGACTAATAAATTGTTAGAAATGAAATTAGTCAAGTTAGTGACGAGTTAAATTATAATATACATAATTTTTATATAAATTTACTTATATACTATTACAAGCTAATTTCATAAATTATTAGAGCAACTTCAGGGTTTGTTGGAATATTATATTCAAACACGTTTACCAAAGAAGGTAAAGTTATTAAGATTACAACAGCGACAAGGATTAGTAAGAGCTCGATTAAAAGGAGCTAAAAGTGCATCAGGGGATGTTTTAATGTTTTTAGATGCTCATTGTGAAGTAACAAAAAACTGGTTCGTTTTTTGTCAATTTTTACATTATTTCTTATATTTTTACTGAAAAGAGATTTATACTTTAGGTTGCAGCCATTACTGCAAAGAATAAAAGATAAGCGTAATGCAGTTGTAACGCCAATCATAGACAACATATCGGAAGAAACATTTGAATATTTATATAATGCTGAACCATCATTTTTTCAAGTTGGAGGATTTAGTTGGTCCGGTCATTTTACGTGGATAAATATTCAAGAAATTGATTTACAATCCAAGACCTCTCCCATTTCTCCCGTAAGATCACCCACCATGGCTGGTGGACTCTTTGCAATTAATAGAAAATATTTTTGGGAAATAGGTAGTTACGACGACCAAATGGATGGCTGGGGAGGAGAGAATCTTGAGATGTCATTTCGAGTAAATAACAGAATAAACTAATTTCTTCATCCTTATATTTTGAATATAAGATTTATCTTATAAATATAACAGTAGCGACATATTAATAAAATACCGATTATTTTAGATATGGCAATGTGGCGGAGTTCTCGAAACAATACCTTGCTCTAGAGTAGGTCATGTATTTAGAAATTTTTTACCTTACAAATTCCCTATGAATAAAGACACACACGGTATTAATACAGCAAGATTAGCAAATGTATGGATGGACGATTACAAGAGATTATTTTACTTACATCGCGAAGAATACAAGGTGTGTAAAAACAATGCTGCACTTGAATTACATAACTGTAAATATGGAATTTAAATTGGACATTACTTTTATAACAGGATATGCCAGAGCTCATTGGTGATGTAAGAAGTCGTATAGATTTACGTGAAAGATTAAAATGTAAAAGTTTTAAGTGGTATTTGGATAATGTATATCCTGAAAAATTTATACCAGATGAAAACGTACAAGCGTTTGGTAAAGTGAGAGTTCAAACAAAAAATTTATGTTTAGATAATTTACAGCGCGACGAGGAGAAACCATATAATATAGGAGTCTACGAATGTCATTCAAAATTATATCCAAGTCAGGTATATAATTTTATACGAAATACTAATATACATTATTTGCTAACTCGAGCTTTGTTGTGAAATTGTACGGTATAAGCTTAAAATTTTGACGCATATAAATATAAAATTACAGAACATTGCAAATATAGTCTCGTTTCATTCCTCGTTAAAATGGAAGTTAAAAATAAAGATAAGAATTCAAATTTATAAATCATGAAAATATGCATTAAGAGTTAAGAAAAAGTAAAATCATTGCGCTTGATAAATTTTACATCAAGACTCGTTAGATTCTGAATATTAACAGTGAAACGAGTCTTTAAAGATTTATAATGTTTCGTTATTTTAGCTCGTTGATATACGTAAAAATTTATAATAATTCATCTCATAATAATTCATTTAAATTAATCGATGTAATTAATCGAATAAATTTAACTGTGTGTTTTTTTTTTTCTTTTTCTTTCCCTGTTTTTCCCCCAAATCAAATTAGTATTTTTCTATGAGTAAAAGCGGAGAATTAAGAAGAGAAGACGTATGTGCTACTGTGATCGAAGATGAACTTTTGAATTATATTTTTAAAGTTAATATGAGAGGTTGTGATGAAATTGAACACGATAAGGAGTGGATATTAACCGAGGTATACCTTATATAAACAGTAGACATTAATAACTTTGAATAAATTAGTAAATATATGAAAAATAACATTTAATTATTTGTAATGCAGGATGGAAAGATTTTACACTTAAGAACAGGATTGTGCCTAGATGCAACTGGAGTACATAGCAAGGAAGATGTTATAGTTTCTCTCTGTTCCGACTCACCAGATCAATTTTGGCAATTTGATTTTTATGGTGATAAGATCAACCCTAGATGAAATCTAGTTGATTGTTATAAATATTAAAGGCAGCTCAAATAATGTAGCTGAAATATTTATATCGTATATATTTTATATTAAATATTAAAGAGCTTGTTTATAGTTTTTATTATAAAATTGTTGAAATTAATTAAAAAAATTTTTATAAACAAATAAAGAGTATATATAATATTTTCATTGAAAATAATAGCGAATTGATGTATATTAGATTACACGACATTAATATTGTTATTTGTTAATATTTTTCTTATCAAAAATTTATAAATATAAATTTACCTAAAGTAATGTATCTTCGCATCTAATGTATTCTCCTATATCAGCTTGATGGAAGCAAATTATTGACATTGGATCCGCACATGCACATTCTAAAGTACTTTTCGCTGCAACTCCAAATCCCTAGAATATAACAAAACTATTATGACCAACAAAAGAATTTATTTGAGTTGTAGTTCAATTGAATTGATACGTTGTTTTTGAGATGGTCCAGTGTTAAATCTTATTTATACGTTTGTCTAAACAATGTTTTATATCAACGCTATTCATAATTGATCTATCATCAAATTTATTTTATAAGTAAAATTAATATTTTAGTGCTCAATATTTATATGTATAGAATTTAACTTATAATTAAAATTTTTATTTTTATTTTTCAAACCATTTCAATTTATCTTTAATTTAATATTTGTTCAAATAAATTATGCATCGTTGTGTGCGTAATGTAGCGCGAGCGACCAATGTCAATGTTATTACTCTCAATATGAGAAGAATTATCTGAAATTTATCTGCCATATTATACACTGCAATACACATTCTATACGATGGCAAATTTTTATACAAACTACAGTAGAAACAACATTCACTTATTAAAACAAATAAACTTAATTTAGGGTATAAACATATAATTACATATTGCAAATGATTATAATTATTAGTCTATAGAATGAAATTGTTAAATTAGATAAAATTTTCAAAGCAAATAATTGAAAAATGAAAAAAAAAAAAAAAAAAAAAAAAAAAAAAAAAAAAAAAAAAAAAAAAAGAGGCATAAAATTAACTAATGCTATTTAATGATTTATATTATTATTGATAAATGCTTTTTATTTACCAAAGGTAAATCGTTCATTGAATACACAACAACTCCTTGATACTTTGAAGTATTTTCAGTTATTTTTCCTAAACCAGCTTTGTTTATATTGTTACCATATAAAAATTGTTGTTCGGCCGAAGGTTTGACCCATATTTTATGCTAAAAATATATAAAACTTTAATATAAAATTTTAACGATATGTAAGCTCTTGGCACCAAAGTCGCTTAGTAATACTTGCCGTTGCGTACGGTGCTAAATAATGTAAGGCTGTAATGTGTAGTCGAAACTTTCCAGATTTTGTAAATTTTCCAATGCATGTGCCAACGCTCATTAAATCGTTCGACGATACCGAGCTCGCAAGACCTAAAATCTTTTCTAATACATAGTACACTCTCTCTTTTTTTATTCGAAAACAATAAGTACCATCTGGTCTGTCGATAAGGAACTTCATATTATCTCCAATACTAAAAGTAAAATTCTAATGAGAAAATTGAAGGAAATAGACATCCGAATAACAGCAGTAAACATCCAAGCGTATTGATAAATAAAAATTCAAGTCCAAGACATAACCTAGTAAAATCATTCAACTTACTATTTTGTCAATTTCTCATAAACCAGCTTTTTTTTGTCCTCCGATAAACGTCTCATCTTGTACCATGAATTCAATCACTTGGAAACTTCGTACAAACTGTCAGAAGGCAAATAAATAATATAAATAAATAAATAAATAAGAAAGTGTCCGCGAGCCGAAGCAGCAAGCGAATAGAGTAAAATTCGCTATTGAAGATGATAGAGCCGAAACAATATTAATTATGCCTACAAATAATACTTCAGAACGTCGACTGAGCTCTAATTTTAAGTAAAAAAACTATTATTGCCCAATCCAATAGATGAATTTAATCCAATAAATAGCAATCTAATCAATAAATTATATTTGTATCGTGCGCATGTTGTACATTGCAAGAGTTTAAGCACATGTTGAATTAAAAAGTGGCGGCATAGAAAGTGAGGCGAGGGAATAAGAATGGAAAATCGAAGAGAAAAAAAAACAATAAGCATATAAGTCACTCCCTCTTCCGTGATACGAAGCTTTTATTCAAAAGTAATTAAAGTTTAAGTATGTAACGAACAATTATCAAATTATAATGCAATTAACCTCGAGAGATTTGTGTTTGCCGTGACTACTATATATATATATATATATATATATATATATGTATATCAACGACATGGATGATATAACATAAATTGACGATAATAGTATAATTTTTAGTGTAATATTTTTAACATTTTTATATTTACATGCTTATCTTTACTACTATATAATAATAATAATTATTATTATTATTATTTTTAACTTTGGGAAAATTCAAAATTATTTCATTCGAATAATGTGCTATGTTCCTTTTTAATCTCTGCTCTGTACTTCCCTCAAATTGTCAAAATTTTTTACACTGTCCAACTGGACTTTTTATAATAAAAGATTTTTTATTAATTATTTTGTATTACAAAATAAATTCAATACTTGGTAGAAATGTCTTTGAACGCATTGTTATCGCAATGCCCGAATTGCAATGTAAACTCTCACCGTCTACTTATTCAATATTGAAAAGATGGTGACGATATTCTTAATCTGCTACCCATATTAACATTTATTACTCAAATCAAGTATTCTCAATTATGAAAAATATATCATACAAGCTCAATCCTAACAATATTCATAAATTAATGCAATTATTTTACAACTCTATATTATATAGCTAGAAAATTAATGCATTCTCGAGCATCGTCGCATCTCGATATTTAAATTAAAAGCATTAAATTGTTAATATAGCGTCCAAATTTTAGAGGAAAACAATGACATTTGCTTTTGAGAAATCAATTATTATTCAAATTAATTATTCAAATAATATTAATTATTCAAATATCGTTATTTGACGTCGACGTGTTCGGTAAAACGAGAGTCGGTCATGAATACTAACATCTTTCATTTTTCTTTTTGCCCCATTGACGGGTGAAATATTTTCTATTTGTATTCAAGTCTCTGGCCTCGTTTTTACATTAATGCTTTGCCATGTCCTTCCGTCCTTTTAACGCACCTGATATATCTACATTTATTTATTTCGTTATTTGTTTCTTATTCATCAGGTTGGACTGCTTACATTGCAATAGTTAGTTATATATTATGATTGCGTTACAACGACATTGCAAACTTTATTGCATCGATTATTTAATAAGATGCGAACATTTTCCTAAGGAATATGAGCAAGTAGTTTTAAATGCATAATATTTATTAGATAAGATTTTGTCAATTTCAAATTATTGACAATCTCTACGATATGATTAATATTGTGGATATTAATGAGCAACGCTCAATATCCTAGCATAATAAATTTAAATTAATCATCAAATTATTATATTCCTTTGGGCGTGTCTCTGTGTAAGCAGGAAAAACACATATGGAACAACATTAGCTTTATTCGCTCAGCAATCGTTTATATGTTTTAATAAATTACCGTGCAATTAATAACAATTTGATGGGAAAATTAAAATTAGGAGTCTCGTTTATGTACGATCAATTCAAAAAACAAAGTCAACAAAATTGATGAATATTATAATTGTGATTCTTCGATAACGAGGCCTAATATTTATATATTCTGTAAATGTATGTTAATATACTTAATATATGAATGAAAAAATTGCAAATTTCGTACATAAAGATTTGCAATACATTTAAGCAAAGAATTGACTCGGTCTACGATTAATTTTTTTTTTTTTTTTTTTTTTTTTTTTAACAACATTTTTATAACTTTATTATTAATTAGTTTTTAATAGATTTAATGGCATTTTATTACGTATATTTGCATATCTAGTAAACCATTACAAATTAATGACATTTGCTAAATATTAATTCTCACAATCGACAGGTAAATAATTTTCTTTAAAATTATTTACACGAAATTTGTCTCGATCATTTAACTAATCTTAAAGACAGTAATTAATTATACTAAGTAAATAATTCGTAAATTTTGGTTTTTATAATTAAACAATAATTAAACCCTTTGGTATTTGCATTTTGCATTACGCATATTACACTTTTATCAAATAATATTGAGTATTTTAATGTATTAAGTTTAGTGAAAAAAAAAAAAATTGTATTTTCAATGTTACTCTCATATAGTGAAATGTCGGACAAACAATATATTTGAATATTTTTCATGAGTAAATTTCCATTTCATCAATCAAAGAAGTTCATTATAACGTAATATAGACGAAAATAATTTTTTATTATACCTAGGGTTTATTTATTTGTTTATTTGTACCATATTGTGGGTGAAAGGCCAATGACAACGTTGTATCCTATATAACGTGAAATCGATTGTTCTCCCGTTGCTTAAATATAAATTTTTATACAATTATCAGTTTATGAGATAAAGCGTAGATGTGCGTCTAGACTTTTAAGAGAAATTTCACGACATGAATTAATATAATAAAAATAAATATAGTTTTTAAATAAATATTTCATCAATTTTTTTTTTCTTCCAATGCTACTATCCAATTTTTTTTTCTAATAGCGAGAAAATCGTCATATAACGCATACAAAGGTATTCCACATAAATATATGGAACATTGTATTCTTTCAATTAATCAATTAATTTTAAATCCTATGCATTTTAAATGTCATAATAAAAATATTCTTAATTCATAATTGATAACATTAATTTTGATCGCACCTTTTCACATTGAAATAGTTGTATTATTGCATAAATAATGGTTGTTAAATGACTGATATACTTTTTTGGATTTGATATATAAAATATTATGTTAGTGTGTTGGTCGAGCAGCTTCAATATCTTCAAATCAGTGAATTTAAATTTCATTTAGCTCTTTAGATATAAATTACACGAATATGAATAAAATAAATAAAATTTAAACACTATATTTTGGATATTTCATGTGCCACGATATGACGCAGTTATTATAATAACTCTTGTTATCATTATAAATAAATATTTTAAACCAATCAGGCGGCGCATCGCATTCTTCTTCACTATTTTACAATAAGCACGTAGGTATTGTTAAATGTTAGTTTAAAAAATTCTGTAAATATATATATATATATATATATATATATATATATGTTTTTTCTTATCCAATATATTCTTTAAGGCCTGAATTATCTATACTACAATTTACATGCGCATTTTTTATTTTAAACAATTTATTTTGTTTTTACGATTGAATGCCGAATGTAAACTTTATCATTGAACGAATGGATTGTACAATAATATAAAAGCAAATTATATATGAATATATGATTAAATCTATGTATTCGTCATATTCTTAAGTGAAACACACGTATGTGTGCAAGTATGTTAAATTGCGGAATTAGAAGACTTCATTAATCTAGTCTGGGGATAGCCAAGAGTAATTCATAATTGTCGAGTTTTTTGGAAAAATATTGATTACTTTTAGCATTTAATTAAAAATAAATAAAAAATGCTTGTTCTCTTTCAAATCTTACATTTACACGTACGCATGCACACACGGTAATTTAACAATATAATTTAAAAAAACAAAAACCAAAAGAACAAAATGTACTTTATTATAGATTTTATTTGCTTGCTTAATAATGTTAAAATTACTAATGACAATGTTCTTTTTCTTTCTATTGCTTAAAACCAAAAAAAGAAAAGAAAAGAAAAAAAACACACAAAAATGAATAAATAACTAAAAAATATTGTATAATTTATATTATAAGAGATATCGTTGTATTGCTCGTAAATAAAATTGTGACATAATTATAATACCGTAATTTATAATATTCTTTATAAACTAATTGTTAACGCTACGTATATAAATTGTGGAGAATGTTTATTGTGCTTACGCAAAGATAAGTTATCTATTGTTTAAAGAATCGCAAAATTTAAATGTTTGAATACATAATATTCTATTCCGAATATATTGCGAAATATATATTTTAATCGTTGATATATCTTTATCAACATTTCATAAATATAAGTATAAAAACATTATGTTTTATGGCCTATTGCTTAATAATAATGTGAAAAACATTTTTTGCTAATGAGAATCGAGACATGGAACATTTATCTCTCGCTTCATTGCGTCCTGTTACAAGTAGAAGCGTCATTTTTCAACTCTGGCAGATCACCTTGAGTCTCAAACATTATCTCGTCCTGTGCTCAATTTGGATATGGTACATCGAAAAATAGATCATAAATAAGAAGAAAATAGAAATCTCCAGATGGAGTATTCATACGACGTAAAAGTATAATTTTCCTAATCAGGTCGATCAAACTAATATATTAAATTCATGCAAAATTGCTACGAACTATCGCACGCATTGAGTCATCATCATATCTTTCAAAATATTATAAGCTTCCTGTCTCTCACATGTTGACCTGTTCTTTCAATTTATGCGACTAAAGTTGTGATTTTTATTTATTCGTCGAGTATTTAAAGATACTCGGAAAACAAAGATATCAAGCAACAAAGATAATATAACATTTAGGATAAAAATTTTCATTACAATCACTTTTTCCTCTAAAGTGTATATCCTCGGTAGACAAAATACATTTTAAGCTATGAATTTTTTAAAATAATCTTACGTATGGAAATGAAATACAACGTGGTTGATATCATAGTGAATATCGTCTTTGATAAACTGAGTCAATATTTTAATATGAAAGTAAATGAGAGAGATAGAGAGCAGTAGAAAGCGTATTAAAGTTTATCGCATGTTATCTTAATAATTGCAGTATTCAAAAAGCCCGAAGATAAATACAAAAGTTTATGAATTTTGAGATTTGATAAATGATGGTTGATTTCACCTCGTTTTCACGTAAATTTTCATGGTGAGTGCCGTAGTTATATATATATATATATATATATATATATATATTTTTTTTTTTTCTTCAATAACTTAGAGAAGAAAAATGATTTTAAAAGGTTGATGTTTGAAAAATATCGTAGTCTATATCTTAATGATATTGAATATAGAGTCTTTTTTTTTTTTTTTTTTTTTTTTTTTTTTTTTTTTTTTTTTATATAAATACTTTTGCTAATTTTATATGATTTATATGCTAAGTCTTAATACAATGTACGCAATGTATACAAATTATTTTGAATATCGTAGGCTTAGGAGATTCAGTTCAAGCAGAGTTTGAGCGATAAAAATGAATCCGTGAGCTTTAGGCACGTGACACACATGTGCAGTTACTTGAACCGTAAATAATTGCTATCAAGAATTGTTAATAACAAGCGACGCGAGTCACGCAAGTTTTTTTTTTTTTTCATAAGGATACTTCCGAGAGCATTTAAGAACGGAATAAAATTAAGTGTTGTCAATTGATAAATAGTTTAAAATTTAAATTCAAGCCATTATCGCACATTATTAATGAGAGTAATAACGCAAGTTGACTTTGGTATTGTTACGAAAGGGTGTGGCTTTGACGATTGAAGCAACCGCATTAATGCTTCATAATATTAAAATCTCGTAAAGAAATGGATCGACGATCAATAATCAAGATTCCTCAAACGAATAAAAAGTTAACGATCGGTCGGTCTTATCGTAAACGAAGTTCACTGCCTACTGGATAACGCGCGGCACAATTCCTTTGAGGTTATGAATGAGCTCCGGTCTTGGACGATAATTAGCTTATTGCAGTTCCGATGACATTCCAGGGAGAATGATTATTCCGAATAATAAAATGTTGTCGGCTGAACGTCTAATAAAAGCGAGGAAGTCTACGCGATTGCGCAAGTTGCCCTCTTACACACGCCCTCCTGGTTCGTAGATTATTTTCCATCCATTCAATCGCTTTCTCTCCACCACATAACAATCATTAAAGCATTAAAACATGTCGCTTGAATAACAGCCGTAACGTAATATTTAAGCCATAATAACATCCTATGAAATACTTGACTTTTCTTGCCTCCTCGCGTTATTAGTTATTAGTACGCGACTCACCACCTCCTGCCCGTCCACCCTTAATCAAGAAATCAATAATTTCGATTGTCGGCGCACGCGTTTTAAAACCTCTAACCATTAGTTTTGGAATATTTTGCGGTGCATTATACTTTCTTCACCTGTTGAGTTGTGAAAGTTGTTGAACGCGCCTCCTATGCTATACACCGCCGTTCTACGCCAATTGTTGCTCGAATGCGATAAAGGACACGATTTATAGGTCACCCAATGCAGGTAAAACACCAGTGCTATATATATATATATATATATATATATATATATTGCAAGGCTCGTTAATTTGTTTGTTTCGTAAAACATTGTGGGTTAGTAACGAATTCACACGAATCGACAGCCTTTCGCCCTTGAATTTTAAACGGCTAATCTTACGAACTTTCTTACTCGCACTTTAACGTTAATCCTTTTTTTTTATGTGTTAGTGATATGGCCGATTGAATTGTTATAACCGTATGACGTATTGTGTATTTCTTTCGTTTGTTTCATTCTTGTAATTCCATTTGTCACTGCTTGGTTCTTCATGAACAAACGCATTTCAACGATTATTATGCACTCACTTTCCCTAATTTTGTAATATTATAATAAAAAAATTAATAAATAAAAAAAAAACGTAAAATAATTTTCCTTCTACATTAGCGCAATTACACGAATCAAAACTTTTTATAACACTGTATTTATTTAGTCGAGTCAAGTAAATTGCACAAATTTTTCAGTTTCTTTTTGTTTCACACATCTTCTAGAATTCCTCCACATCATTCCATATGCATAACGATTATCCATATGAATATGAAATATGTGCAGGTACGTTTAATGTAACCAAACATTTGTTATTATACCATTCATAAATAATAATTTTCCTGTCTCCTAATGCGATCTGCTTCTGTGCTTTTTAATTATTACATATGCTTGCTCAAATACAGATATTTAATGGCTATAATAATTATTAACACAATTATTGTAATTTGTATTTTAAGAAATATTAATATGTAATATTATTATGTTTTAGATATGGATCAAATTGGTGAATCGACCGAGCATCGGAACCTTGAGGGTTTCAATATTCTGTTTTATGTCACCGAAGCTATCGGTGGATTATTGATATTGTTAGTTATAATCTGGACTGCCCACTTTAAAGGAGGTTTCGCATGGACATCCGATCCAGATTTAGAATTCAACTGGCATCCGCTTTTAATGACCGTTGGCCTTGTGTTCCTTTACGCTAATGGTAATTGGCATCGTTTAGCATATATATATATATATATATTTCAAAATAATTGCAACGATACTGCATAATTTTCACTATTATATCGCATTTATAGGAATGCTAATATACAGATCTCAAAGAACGGTGCGTAAAAGGCGCCTAAAGCTTATTCATGGTGGTATAATGATTTTCACGGTACTATTAACCGTTATTGCTCTAGTTGCGGTTTTTGATAGTCATAATTTAAAAACTCCACCTATCCCTAATATGTACTCGTTACATAGTTGGGTCGGATTAACAACCATTATTTTATTTTGTTGCCAGGTATGCTTAAAATAATTTTTTTCATTTTGATATTCATGATTTATTTAATACTTACTAATAGGGTTTGATTTTGCAGTGGCTTGCAGGTTTGGTATCCTTCTTATATCCAATGATACAGCCATCGTTGCGCGCTGCGTACTTACCAGTTCACGTTTATTTTGGTACGGCTGCTTTTATCGGTACAATTGCTTCTTGCTTAATGGGACTTACGGAAAAAGCATTTTTCTCCATTAGAAATCCGTAAGCTGAGACACTATTAAATGAAACTTTTTCATTAAATATCAATTTCAAACGAAATTATTAATCTAAATAAATTATAAAACATTATTGGTAATATTTATAATGTAAATATTTCCTAATTAGAGACGTATATTGATTAAGATTTTAATATTTCAAAACTAATCTATGTCCATAGATCTTACGATAAATTTCCTGCAGAAGGTGTTCTCGTAAATACAATTGGTCTTACCTTAATTATTTTTGGTGGTCTAACCGTCTACTTAGTTTCTCAAGCCAGATATAAAAGATTTCCTCAACCTGAAGATGATGTACTATTAACCGGCAGAAGTAAATAAATTATATGTACCATATAATCCATTGAAATATGCGAAAAATCACTAAATTGATCATGATACACGATTACACGTATTATTTATTCATTTATGGTGCTACTACTAGCTCAGAAAGCCGTAAATTATTTATAAATTCGCTTAAATATTTTAGCACAATTTTTAATCTATTGAATTTATTTACAAATTGTATTTAATGTATATAAAATCATTTTCATACTTTTTTATAATCTGCACAATTTATTGACATATGATCCTTTGTTCATGCTATCAGATACTAATATTTTATAATAAGCAAATATTAAAGATTAATAATAAATAATGTATTATAAAAAATGGTGCTAAAACAATAAGTTTTTATTTTTTATAAATGTTTATGTAAACGAGTCCAAAGAAATCGAAAGTATAAATAGAAATCTTATTTTTTTATATTTGAGAAAAATTATATATAGATTTTTTTTTCCATTACTTTTGTGTAATGATCTGACTTTGTCAATTTTTTTGTTTTAATATTTAAGAAATCTATATTTTATATGAAAATTACAATTCAATGATGTCTGTAATAAACAATTTTTATTTTATTCTAGTGAAATTATAAAATTTGTAACATGTAAAATCTAATGTATTTATATTTGTTGAACTAAAAATACAGATATTATAATAAAATAAATAAATAATTATATCTCTATATGTTATCTTCAAGAATCATTTTCATAAATTAATATAATCCATTATACCGAGGTAAATAAAGATTAACAATTAAGATCAGATTAACAATTAAATAAGATAGCATAATAAATATATAAATTAATTAGAAAATTAAAAAGCTATATTTTTGTAAGAGAAAGGTTTTATTGTTGAAATTTTATTACTAATTGATCTAAAATAATACATACACGATATTTTTATACATAAATCCTTAATAATACACAATTTTTTCGTACAAAAATTTTACACTTATTTTGCAATAATAAAATACATAATCCACTGTAATCCAACATTAAACGATTTGATTTGAATTTAATATCACTTTTTATATAAAATATAAGTTATTAATAAATACAATACAAGTCTGAGTTTAAAATATATAATTTAATAAAAATCAAATGAAAGTAATAAAAAAATGTAATTTCCCTTTGACGGTTTGGAGTAAACGTTAACAAGTGCGAATTTCTAAATAATGGAGAATAAAAATATAAAAAGATAAATAAAACAATAAATATTAATATTGTGCTTTAATTTAATTGTACTAAAAAATTTGTTACTGAGTTTTTATTTAATTAAATTTTCAAGTCTTTACCAATACTTATGTTGTATAATTATTATTTTGGAAGATTATTTTCAAATATTAGACTGCTTCCTCACTACGAATTACATTATTTAATGAAAGTTTTATAAAGACCAGAGCTGTCGGAAATACTTGGCTTTTGCTTTTGTATTTATGCACTAATTGGATTGTATTATAATCGAATTTTTTCATAATATTATTTCTGTAAAGTTACCCCGAAAGATTTCATCCTTCGTAATCAAAAAAAAAAAAAAAAAAAAATCATTATATCTAACATAATGGGATAACAACAAACTCTATATGTTCTTGAAAAATTCAAATATTATTAAAGAATAACAATACTAATCGATTCTAAATAATCAATAATAATTTTTTCACTCATGTAAATTAAATCTTGTTTATATCATTTTTTAATATTTTCTTGTCATAATACACCGTGCCTTTTTATGAAAAAATATTTGCTATTAAAGAATATTTATTATGTATTATGTATTAATTATGTATATGGATGTACTTTCGACAGTGAATTTTTATACAATTATACAACACATTTTATGTTATATAGATATATATATATATATATATATATATATATATATATGTGTTTATTAATAAATAAAATAATGGTTAAAATAAAAAACGATTTAGAACAGATGAAATACGTGATTTTAATCAAAAGAGTTTATCTATTTGAAAATTATTATTACAATTTACAGAATTTTATCCTAATACACATTTTATTTCAATTAAATAAATTTTTATACAAATTGATATTTGGTTGAAAATATTTTTCTTCAATTTTCAGCATATTTTAGTATTTTATTTTATTACACATAGTTTTTACATTTTAGCATTTACATTTTATATCATAATTTAATAATTGTCGTTTATGAAGTGGTATTTTAAAATTAAAATTGAAATACATAAATTCTTTGATTATACTTCCATCCAATATATAGAAAAATTGTTTTTTATTTTTTTCTAATCTATAATAAAATTTCTATTATAAATAAAAATATAGATGATGTTTGAAAGTGTATTAGCATAATCAATAAATTAAATCCATACTAATTTTTCATCTAAAACTGACCAATTTATCTATAAATAGAAAAGTTTAGAAGGTACATATATATATATATATATATATATATATATATATATATATATATATTGGGCAGAGCAAAGTAAAAATTACTAAGGATTTATCATATTAATTATATGATGTACATATGCTACCTACTTCGTCGTGTATTACCGTAAGTTTTAGATCTCGCAGGATGGAAGTAAAATGATTAAGAGATTTTAAAGCTTTTGACAACATAGGAAGTATGGAAAGTAATAGATAATTGTATCGAGCCTTCAAAATTCGCAATCCCGTTTTTTACTTCTTCAGGTAGAGAGGTGCGTAATTTAAAGGAAAAATGCATATTTTCACTTCGGACTTGCAGGCCCGATCGTTGATTATCCTCGGTAATCACTTGACAAGCAATATACAAACGACAATTAATATACAAACCTCATTAGATCTTATAATTTATCATTCGTTAGTCGTAATTCGAATGATCAACTTGTTCTATTGGTCGTGCTTTGAATTCGAATAAATTATGAATATTTAGGAGGCCCCTCATATAACTAAATAAAATTGCGTTTGATAAATTACATGCGTTTACAATCTTTTATCAATATCTCGCCTTATTAAAAATCGCAAAAGTATGGTATGTATGGTTGTGTATTAAATATAATGCGTAGTGTCGCAATAGTCACGTGATCGGTATACCGATGCGCCATCTATGATCTATGCAGTTTTCGTTAGATCATCTTCGTTGTTTTGTATTTAGTTTTAATTATTGATTGTACGCGTAGACTATGTATGCATTATAATATTTAAAATTTATACATTTGAGAATAATGAGCGAAGCAGAGTCATTAAGTACAAAGACATTGATCGATAAATATGCAGAACGAATGAAACGTTTGAGAGAACTCCATACAAAAAGAGTATTTATACATTCTAACCTCATTTATTTCTAAGCTGTTTACCTTTCCATTTTATCATGTTTATTTAATGCTTAGAACGAGGCTCGGCAACAAAATCACAAGGAAGTCGTTGAGGAGGACAAACGAAATAAATTACCTTCGAATTGGGAGGCTCGAAAACGTCAAGCAGATTGGATTATCAATGATGAAAAAGCAAGAAAAGAGGCAGAAGAGAAAGTAATGATGATTGTAAACGATGAGTATGAGTATTAGAAATGAGAAGCGATATTTATTTTGTCGAATTATGTATTTTAGGGACTTGATTATGAAAGAACGAAGCTTTTGAATATTGATGCGATAGAAGCCGAACGACTAGCGCGAAAAAGGAAGAAAATAGTACCTAATGATGGATTTGCCGATTTTGAGCAAGCAACGGTACGTCAATATAAACAACTCGTTAAAGGTATAAAACCAAACATGGAGGTTTATCAAGAAGCTAAAGAGACACTTGGTCCAGCATTTTATGGAGATAGAAATACAATTTTACATGGACTACATAAAGATAAAAAAGAGGCAGTGGATAGAATGGTTTCCGATTTAGAGAAACAGTATGTATAGTGTTGGATGTTCTTCAATATGGAATTGTCACCGATGTATATTATTATGTATAATTTGTTTTTTTCAGGATTGCAAAACGGGAAAAGTATAGTAGGAGGAGAATGCATAATGATGACGCCGATATCGATTATATTAATGAAAGAAATGCTAAGTTTAATCAGAAACTTGAACGATTCTATGGAGAGCATACAAGAGAAACTAAACAAAATCTTGAGCGCGGTACCGCTATTTAGAGGCCTAGAATCTATCTATTCTTAGATATATAAGTATTATCTATCCGTTAACTGATGTCGAATTAAAATTAAAATTAAATTTATTAAAACATTACTAAAACAATAATTATCCGAATAATTCGTAGTATAATTTATAGAACAAAAAAAAAAAAAAAAAAAAAAAAAAAAAAAAAAACAGTACATTTTCTATTAAATAGACTAAAATTAGTGGTATTTTCTGCAATCAGAAGTGTTTTAGTTAAATATTTTTATACATTTTAATTGAAAATAAAAAATGAAATAATTACAGAATGTACGTACTCGGATCAGTCGTTTCAAAATTTGTAAAATATCCTTTAAAATTAATATAATTGCATATTAAATTATATGTACAACTTTAAATTTCTAAGGTGTTGGTTTCATATTATACCACCCAATTATGGATCGTTCCTATAAATAAACATAAATATAAAAGAATTTCAGTTATATATTTGAAGTTTTTCAGAACCTTTCGCTTATTCAATTTTTATTTATCGAATGGGAGATCCGTTTTCGTACTTACGTCGAGGATTGAAATTATGATGTGTAACTCGTATACGAATATCCTGCGTTTCCCCTATAGATAGAAGTGCAATTAAAACGAATGCCGATGATATGAATTTTTATAAAAAAAATTATAATAAATTATTAGCTTATAATCGATATAAATATTGGAACAAAAATTAGCCATTTAATTTGAAAATTAATTTTATTTTTTTATTAATATATTGTTTACTTAAAATGCAATATGTATTCAATTTTAAGTACGTTATTTTATAAAATTATGAAGAAATAAAGCGCAAATAGAAATTATTAGCGGAGCTTTCTTTTTTCTTTTCTTTTTCATTTCTTTGCTTAAAACCTTAAAAATTATTCAGTTATTATATATCACAGAAAGACAAAAGCAATGATTTACCACTATTGCTAATAAAATAAAATGTCGATTATAAAATATTGTTGGTTAATTTGCATAACATATACAATATCACACATGCAATTATATAAAAAAAAAAAATAGTGAGTTAAAAACTGGTGAGTTTGTTTCAATCGTCTGAATGTGGGAGAGAAATATCACAAGCTATTCACTCAAGTTGAAGATTTGTATTTCTGTGTTCTATACCTTGAGCATTTTCAACAATTTTTGGCATGTCACATTGTTCGCACTTATCCAATAATGGATGATTATCAAATGTACACCTCTGACAGACCCATGATGGATCATCTGATTCCTCTTGGCTATCATTTCTACTCGAGGCAGAATCCTCTGTGGGCAATTGACTAGGGGAATCAGATGGTTCCACAATTAAGGATTGTGGAATATATTGCTGCCCGGTATAAATTCCCTGGTAAAATTCTTCATTATCTTCGTTAAGAGGATCTGAAAATACACAAAATAATTAAGTAGTATTAAGTGTTAAGTAGCGGGGACGAAAACAACAATTAAAGAAAAAGAAAAAAAAAAAATTAATAAAAAAACGCGCAATTTTTAAAATGCAAATACAATTTTAATTCAAGCTTTCAAAGAAAATTAAATCTTTTGTAACAATTGCTAATTAGGTGCTATGTCGCTTATTCATATTGGCGAAAAATCCTACGATTGCTTATGTGTTATATAAAAATATTATTCAGACTTAAATAATCAATTATATAACTTTCACGTACCACGAGGACTGGATTCACGATTCACAATTTTCGCCAATCTATCGCATTCGAATCGTAATTCAGCTATTTCACGTCTCAATTGTCGTTCGATTTCCTACAGATAAGAATATATTAAACATAATCAATGAATGGGATAATAAATATTAAAAATTAATTATCATCGTAACAATTTTACCTCTGGTGAAATATTATTTTCAAACAATTGCCTATAAGTTTCTATATCTTGTTTTAGAGCCTCCAATTCCGCTTTCTCAATTTCCAATGCTTTAGCTAGCCGATCTTTTCTAATGAGTTGATCGGTCACTAGTGCTTTGAATTCATCTGGAACTATAAATAAAATTTATTGGAGGATTAGATTGTATTTATAAAATATATTCCCCCTTAAAGCCGGACAATTAGCAAGCGATATAATTATTATTGTAACGAACCTATCGTTTAAGAAACGAAAAAATTAGTTTTTATGCCAACCATATCTATTAAATATTACATTAGGAATGTATTTATGAAAATGAGATTGGCATGTACGGTTAATTTAATATGACATTAACATTCGCAGACATTGATACGACTGACATTGCCGAAAAGGAATACCGAAAAGACCTGACTATCGTTGATTTTTCATCTTAAGAGAATCAGCAAACGATCAAATTACGAAGAATTTTGCGTTAAAAATACATTCAAAATTTGTAATCTAAGTCATTCGATTGAATCGATGCGCGATCCGCGTTCCTGACAAATAAATAAAAAGGATCTCTGCAAAACAGTCTTTAAAATTTCGTTAAATTTCTTTAAACAAAAAAAAAAAAAAAAAAAAAAAAAAAAAAAAAAAAAAAAAAAAAAAAATGAAATGCTCGAAGGATATATTTAATGTTTGTATGGTAGTACATATTGTAACGAAAAGACGCATTACCTCGTAATTGCAATGAAAAATAATTATGCGTTAATAAGCTCATTTGTAGATCGTGGAAAATCTTGAGAAATATAGAGATGAATGATAAATGGCCTCGCGTCTAACGAAATTCACGTACAGTATAATGTCACCTTAAATAACGCCCTTTTTCAAAAGCAAATCTGAGCCAGACGACTTTATAATAAGGGCGACAAAGTGGGCGAATGAATTTTTGAAATTCTAATGCGTCAAGGAGATGGAAAAGCGGGCAAATGCAATTCAGGTGGGATGCGACGTAGGGAAGATTCCCCGATCTCTATCTATAGCTCGGCGCGTGGGTCAGGAATGCGTAAATATCTTTCAACAATTGTGCGCGCGCCTATACTTATGGAGATGCGCGCGTCCGGTGGATGGCGTGTCTGCTTTGACAAAGAGATATTGCCTGAGAAAAGGACGGACGGTGGTCAGGTGAGCGAGGCGTTCGCTCGTTGTAGCGTTACACATTACAAGCTTAGGAAACTCGGCTGTGGAGGGAATCGAGGCAGACGGTGTCTTAAGTCCATCTAATTAAAGCTCCTTGTCGCCGCGATAGGCAGTCACGATTTTTTGCTCAATTTCACCGAATGGAAAATCAAAATTTATTAATGGAAGAATTGCATCGTAGGGATTGCAAATCGTCACCGGGTAATGCCCACGAGCCGCTACATACGATACGAATCTAGTGAATTCAGTGTATCATTTGCCAAAGATTTATCAACATGTATTCGCCAATTTCACATTACACTGTGTGTGCACGCACACACACACACAGAGAGAGAGAGAGAGAGAGAGAGAGAGAGAGAGAGAGGGAAGTGATCGATAGAGAGAAATGTCACAATATATGACAAATTATAAAAATGTTTTCGACAATCACCAGCATGAGATTGAACAATCGTCTTTTATTCAAGTACGATATTATTATTATTATTATTATTATAGAGACAGCTTTTAAAAGAAAATTATTTAAAATTGTTATAAATCTTGATGAATAATTATCATTTTCATTTAAAGTATCTGGCAAAATATTAAAAAAACTTGCTTATTTATATGATTATTTTTTTCTGAAATAATGTATATATATATATATATATTTATTATTAGAAATATTAATTTTAAAACAGTAGAACATCAACGATTTGATATTTCAATTACAAACTAATAATCTAACATTCTTGACTTGGAGATTGTAATTGAGTTAAGATCGTGGACACTCCACCCTTTCGTAATGATATTTACATAATAGCTGACAATCCATTTTCATCGTCGCAAGTGGAGCGTTTCTATGCACGAATAGAAATTTTTTCTTAAAAAAAAAAAAAAAAAAGAACAAAACATGTTTTGTGGCATACGTCGCCGAAAAGCTTAGACATTTCAACAAATGATTTGCAACAAGACTTGCCTTTGGTGAATAGAATGTATTTACGCGAGAAATCGAGTCTAACTTACCATTGGTTTGCAAAGCGAGCATATAAAATAGAATAAATATCGGATGTGAAGGTATTATATGTGAAAAGCCATACAAGTATGACTTACCATCTTTCAAGATGTCTTGGAATTCAGTGGGTAATTCGAACTGACCGTCGTCGTTGACGTTGTCGTGAGAAGCAGCGGCCGTGGAGGTACGCGGCACCGCCCCAATGTCCGTCGACGGACTCGCGATGCTTAGCAGCGGCACCGAGGGTATCAGCGTAGTGCTCATCGTCGTCGTCGTCGTCGTCGTCGTCGTCGTCGTCGTCGTCGTCGTAGTCGTAGTCGTCGTAGTCGTCGTCGTTGTCGTCGTCGTTGTCGTCGTCGTTGTCGTCGTCGTTGTCGTCGTCGTTGTCGTCGTCGTTGTCGTCGTCGTTGTCGTCGTCGTTGTCGTCGTCGTTGTCGTCGTCGAGTGCCCCAATCGATTCTCCAGAATAACTAGAGGATTTAAAATTAAAACTTTTATTATTTTGCTATTGTTTTGCCAAGTTAACTTGTAACTTCTTTTCAAATCCCTTAAGGCATCTATTTTTGCCGACATCGTTGGCAGGTTAGATAATCGCAAATGCTTCTTCTACTAGATGAAAAGGATTTTTCCTGCTTCATTCATTAAATTCAATTATTTTCATAGTCGAACTTAAAGATCGTTAACGATGTTTTAAAGTAAGCAATTAACAGTTCATAATAAATCAAATTAATCCTTATCAAACAACTAATCCTCTTAGCATTTTTTGACCTTCAATCTTACCAAGAATTTAATAGCGATCGTTCGTAATATTTTTAATTTACCTAATGGCTGCTCGATGTCGGGACTGTAGTGTAATGTCGAGGACGGCTTAATCCTGGTCGCGGTGATGCTGGATACGTTGCCCTGACCGATGTTAACTTGGAGTTGACTCTGGAAGCTCTGCGGATCGTGGAGGGAGTTCGTGTAGGTTAACCCCGAGCCCTGCGAGCTTATGTTTATGGGAGGCTGGGGCTTCGACGAGGGTGGTCGTAGGGTTAGATTTACCGACGTGAAGCCCCTGATCGCCGGCTCATTTACCCCTTGTTGCTGCTGCTGCTGCTGCTGCTGCTGCTGTTGCTGCTGCTGTTGCTGTTGCTGTTGCTGTTGCTGTTGCTGTTGCTGTTGCTGTTGCGAGACGACATCGTCGTATGGCCGCGCACTCGTAACTACGAGTTCTACGATGTACATGCGAGGAATGCTTAGCGAGGATTATTTTCCCGGATTTAACGCGGAGACGATGAAAGGAATTTAAAGAAATTAGCACTGTGGGACTTGATGGGGCTTCCAGCCTTTTCAATTAATATACGAAAGCTTACTCGACGAAAATTTTGTCAATTTTCCTTTACTTTGTAGTTTGAAAGTTTTTTAGTTTTTTTTTTTTCTTTAGTCACGAGATTATTTTACAAAGTTATTTTACCTGGTCTATCCATATTTTATAAGTGTTTTTAATATTTAACAATTTTTTTTTTCCCACTTTCCGTCTCTCATCGATACCTTTTCTTTACCCAAATGTCATTAATCGAATTTCGCCCACTGTTATTTTTATTCGACTAAATGTACAATTTCATAAATAGTGCAAAAATTTTCTTGATGAAAAAATTAAAAGAAAAGGTAACGCGCAACATTTTTGGAATACCAATGAATTTTTATTATAAAATTTCGAGCGCCAATGAAGTCGAGTCCTTTGGTTTGATTTGATTTGAAAAATACACCCCTAAGGACTTTCAATTCATTCTATTTTTTTTTTTTTTTCAATTTTCAATGACAATACGATAAAACGAGGTAAACCAATGGTTGAAACAAAATTGTAAAAATTCGGAAGTGTCGTAATGAAAGCCTTAGCAAGTGCTCTTAGCAATCGTCATAATAACGACGTTGGCAATAAAGAAAACTTATTACGAGTGGAAATAAATGTTGCCAAATTTTCGTAAAGCATTGCACTCGTTCGCTAGCACTGGCACTCGAGATTTCCGCTAATCCCGAAATGTTAAATCTCTGAAGAGTTGGCACCAGATGCTCACCCCGAGCGACGTTGGCGTTCGATCGGGGCCTCTCCTCGGACCTCGTGTAGCCCGGGCGATGCTTTCGGCACTCGACGTCCAGGGAGTCGGACCTACGTGGCTGCTGAGCCAGCGTTTCCGTCTCCTGGCTCATACCGACCCCCAGAGGATAGGATCCCGGCTGAGGCCGCGACTTCTGGACGGCTCGCAGACTCCGAGCGCATGTGTCCCTGTCGTGGCTGTTCTGAAAAAACGACAGGTACCCTCGAGCTTGATTGACCGGCTTGATTATTGCACGCGATCATCTTACTAACGATAATTTGCTAGAAGCACAAATTGGCATTTCCGTTTGTAATATTTGATCGACGGTAGGCAACCGACATTTACAAGCAAATAAGAGTCTTTCCATATCCAAACTTTCTTTACAGTCCTATAATTTTGTACACATAATATCGATAATATTGATATACTCAAACTTTCTTTACCTATGTAATTAGGCGCGGTATTACTTATAATTATTATTTATATTAAACATTTTAAGGCGCTCGTTAATTACGATTCTCACGATTTTAACAGAATTATCGAGCTTATTTGAATTGGAAAGTATTTAATTACCTATTTGCTAAGACGCCGTTTCATTAATAGAAACGAAACCGTATAAATGAATAATAATAATAATACATTGCTCGATGCATAAGACTTTGATCGAAAATGAATGAAAAAAATTTTATTTATCAAAATAATCCACAATTTTTATTCATAAATTAAATTGAAAATGCAATAGCTATTAATAAAATATTTCAACTCCGCACTAATTTTGAATATCTACGTTCATTCGAATGTAGAAATCACAATACAACAAGAGTTCTAGTAATAATGTTAGATGTATAAGGCTAGATTAGCATAAAAAATGTGCATATTATTTATAAAATTATTTATTGTCGTATGCGAGACAGAAGGCTCGTGTGTAGTCCAAACAATCTACAGTTAGATTTGTGAATCTAATGAATTTTGAATATATACTATCTTGTATCATTATTGATATTGCTCATTTGATATTCAAGCTTAACAAGAAGAAGAAGAAGAAGAAGATGAAGATGAAGAAGAAGAAGAAGAAGAAGAAGAAGAAGAAGAAGAAGAAGAAGAAGAAGAAGAAGAAGAAGAAGAAGAAGAAGAAGAAGAAGACATAGACGTATAAAAAGCCAAATAATAAACGTAAAGTATAAATATGAAGTGATTAAAGTTAGTGAATAAATGATAATTATGATATAACTTAATACCACCAAAAAACTTGGTAACCGCTGAAAAGAGTGCAGAAATCTTAATGATTATTATATGATTTGAATATGCATACATTTCTCTTTCATTTCAATGACTCTTAATTCTACTTTTATGTTTGTTGATAAGAATTAGCGATGCGCAAAATAAAACGTTTATTATTATTCTAGACATATTACGATATAATTGGATATTCAAATACATTCATTATATAAGCAAAAAAATCATTAAAATCTCGGGGAATAAAAAGCAACTACTAAATTAAATCTGAATTATTTGACAATACATTGATTTAATTCTTTAATTAGCACTAGGCCTTCGATAGATAAAATAAGAAAATACTTCGTACCCATTACACAGATGCAGCCAAAACAATATTTTAATACTTCTACTAACCACTATTTAATTATGTAATTGTGATTAATGAATAATGAATAATAATAGTAATAACAACAACAACAACAGTTATTATTATTATTATTATTATTATTATTATCATCATCATCATCATCATCATCATCATCATCATCATCATCATCATCATCATCATCATCATCATCATCATCATCATCATCATCATCATCATCATCATCATCATCATCATCATCATCATCATCATCATCATCATCATCATCATCATCATCATCATCATCATCATCATCATCATCATCATCATCATCATCATCATCATCATCATCATCATCATCATCATCATCATCATCATCATCATCATCATCATCATCATCATCATCATCATCATCATCATCATCATCATCATCATCATCATCATCATCATCATCATCATCATCATCATCATCATCATCATCATCATCATCATCATCATCATCATCATCATCATCATCATCATCATCATCATCATCATCATCATCATCATCATCATCATCATCATCATCATCATCATCATCATCATCATCATCATCATCATCATCATCATCATCATCATCATCATCATCATCATCATCATCATCATCATCATCATCATCATCATCATCATCATCATCATCATCATCATCATCATCATCATCATCATCATCATCATCATCATCATCATCATCATCATCATCATCATCATCATCATCATCAATGAGCAAGAATTTCATTTTAATAATAATAGAGGAATAACATTTTATATTAAAAAGGACTTTTAAGAAATTAATTTTAAAATGAAAATTTAGATGAAGAAGAAGTCAATTTGAAATTTTATACATTTATCTATTTTGTTGTGTTATTGATCGAAGCAGCCAAACAAAAAAAAGAAGAAAAAAAAAGCTAAGGAAACTGGAAATCTTAACACGCTTATTTGTTTTACGATTATTCGCCATTATTTAATCACACTTTACAATAATGTATTTTGAAATTAATTGATCCTACTTTAGAGATTTGTTTCGTAAATTTTTGTTAGGCTTTCTAATATTCGTTTGCCATTACATTTACTATGAAAGCATAGTCATGTATCAGAAATAATACGAAAAGAAAATTTAAATGTCCATGTAAGATTCAAGTCTTTTTAGAGAACTCAAAAATTTCCAAGTAGACGTAAAATTATAAATAATACGTCATTAATTTATTAATATATGATATATTAAATATTTCATTCACATTCGTGTGTTTAATGTTTACTCGTAGGTGCGAGAATAGTAGTGAAATATGTAAAGTAAATTACAAAAGTAATCGATGTAAATAGATGCGTTCGATGGATTTTTTTTTTTTTTTATAAATAAACTATCGCGACGTAATGAGAAAGTTGAATTTCAGTCAGTGTCGGTATGACTTTCGCGTTGATACGAAATACCAATATAATAAATTATCGGTAAGCAAATAGTCCAAAAGGCCCACGACGCACCTTTACAAGCACGTTTACATAACCTTCAAAGCTACATTATATTTCCTGATCACTGATCAAGAATAAATTCATACAAGCCATCGACAATGTTCTCCTCGTATTCTACATATGAATTTTAGACAATGTAACGGCACGTTGTGCGTGCATTGCAATAAAATCGGGCTTATCTAGAAGCAAAATGAAAAAACGAAAAAAAGCCACGTCAAACTCAGCATAAAAGAAGGATGCGACGAGAGATTAAAGAGACGGAGGCGTGCCATTGTGTTGGTACCTGGGCGATGCATTGAGAGACGACGTGATCGGAGAGTGCGGGGAACTGCTGCTTCAGCTCGTGGAACAGCTGCATAATGGCGATTTTAGAGCAGTGGCACTCCCCCATTGTGGTCCCCCATCCTCCTAGTGGAAACTACCTGCCCAGAGGCACGCAATGCAATTTTACTTTAGCGAATGACAGGCTAGCGAAATTCGACGCCGGTTAGTCGTGTTAGACATGCGACTCTATACTTCGATAAAAAAAAAAAAGCTTGGAATTGCGCAAAGAGGGTAAACCGTCGCTCGAGCTTCAACGTCAATATCGTCCATCTCTATATCAATGTGCATGCCTTTTCCTCCCACTCGTTAACGTAATGCTAATGATTAACGATTATGCTGATTATTATTATTATTATTATTATTATTATTATTATTATTATTATTATTATTATTATTATTATTATTATTGATGTATTAATATTATTCCGGGTATGCATATTGCCGGATTTGCGGCATGACTCTATGATATTATTGCAATTGAGAGCCAAAGAAACGAGTTTCATTCGACAAGCGCAGCACCAAATCAAACCAAATGCATGAAATGAAGAGGAGAGACAAGGAGAGGGCGCGCAATGATGAAATGTTTTAATAAGTAAGTTCGTTGACTTCTTTTTGAAAATGTAACGAGTGGATGTGGAGTGGGAACGCGTGAATTCAGAATTGACGTGGAGTAATTCGTTGGAAATGCAGCGGCACACTCGGGAGGATAGAGCGCCTCATATTATCATAGATAGATAGTAGCGCATTAAGGTAATTTTACGGTACTATGTGTGATAATGCTCGGGCGAGCTCCGTTTCCTCGCCTTATCGCCTTTTCAACTCGCCTTCGGCTCTTTCACACTAGCGACGCAAATATTTGTCCAACAGTGCGACACGGAGACTTTTATTTAACCAGCTGGAAATCTTTCGTTTCTTATTAGAAGATGGGCGCACGCCATCAAATAAACCCGACTGAATATCTTAATTATCAACATTAGAGCTTAGTTTTATCGATAGCGAAGGGTCTTCGAATAGGAAATACCGAGGCTGCTAAAAGGACCCACGAGATTAAAATATACGCGCCTCGAGTATCTCATTATTGCTGGTTCTATGAGCTTCGCTTACGAATATCTGATAAAAATTAATATTGCAATTAAGCGTGAATAATCGACGCGACTCTACTGCCTAAATTAATAATAACATATAGATTTATAATAATCAAACGCCTTCAATTTGCTTTACGTTTTATTCTCCGATACTAGTAAGATCTGAAACTTCTTTCATTCGTTTGGTAAAATTATTTTTTTAAATTTCGTTCCCTCTTAAATAGACGATTATCCAAGTGAATAAATAATCTTAGACGAATAATATATATATATATATATATATATATGTAATTGGCAGAGTAGTTTTATTTATTGAATAATGCATTAAAATAATTGCTACGTTTTCATAAGAATGTCCAGATCATTATAGATAATGTGTAAATAATGTACATTTACAGTTATCGTCATCTATTTCCAAATATTTTAATCTAATTTAATAATATTCGAGAGTTGACTCGTGAAAAAAGGCATCTCACACGGAGAATATATTTCTTTATATAAAAATACAATGGTTTCGATCAATATATGTGTGTAACCAAGTCATCACTTAATCACGCAAGTTCTTATGTCTCTCTCTCTCTCTCTCTCTCTGTGTACAACACAAGCAAAGGATGCAGCTCGTTTTGATAAATTTAAGGCTCCCACTTGTTTGAACAAAAAAACGACGGAGAGAAAGGTGAGTAGATCCCCACGTGGTTGGGGACTTTGGATAGAACTTATAGTGAGAATTTTCTGTGTCTGCAAAATTCAAGTTACGTTCGCACTTAATGTCTACTGTCTTTATTTACACAAAAGTAGAGGGATAAGATTTTGGTCAGACTTTGTATTTTATACCTCCATAATGCTGCGTTTAGCTTAATTGACAATTTGAGGGGTTATTGTTATTAGTAGACCTTATGTTTCTACCGAGTCGTTTATTTCCTCAATGTTTTTCAAATTATATACATGCAATGATTATTGCCCGCAATGATAACAATTCATCCTTTATAAAGTCGAGTCAGTTCATAAATAATATATATATATATATATATATATATATATATATGACTTTCGAAAAAGGATTATTCACAATCTCTTATATATATAAAATTAGATAATTACTATCTCATTATTTATATTATTAAAACAATTAGAGCTTTTAAATTTTTACAATTTAATTTTTCCATTGACAAAAGTTTAAACTAAATAAGAAATAAATTATAAAACTAGATTATAAATAAAATCCTTAATAGACAATATTTTTTATACTATAAATATACAAATTCCAATGTTAAGTTATATACAGATATATATATATAAATATATATATATATATATATATATATATATATATATATATATATATATATATATATATATATATATATATATATATATAATTCTGGATAAAATTAATATATATAAAAATCTTATTTTATACATTTTAATATGGAATTATAATAATATTTATCAGCACATTGGACTATTAAAATAGAAAACAAAGATTTAAATCAACAAATTTTACAAATATCTGTATTTGAAATTAATTTGTAAATAATAAAACATTAATAAATAAATTAGAGAAAAAAATTAATCGAATAAAATAAATTTATTTTATATTTTTCTTTATTGATATAAATTTTGTAGTATAACAGTGTAGTTTTAATTAAAATTATATGAATAACTTTAATTTAATAATAATGTAATCAGATACACATGTGAATTTATAATAAAAATAAAATAAATAATTTCAACAATACGGGTAACGTGTTATATATGAAATTTATTATATATTTTTGTAAATAAAATCTAAGGTTTTCATATATGTATTATTTGTGACTTTGTAAATCATAAAAGTGGAAGAGAAAGAGAGAGAGAGAGAGAAAGAGAGAGAAAAGTAAGTGATGAAATGAGAAGAGAATGTGAAGCTAAATTTGCGATATGTTCACTATTAATATAATAACTCCTACGGTTTGATAGAATTAAAACACAAATATTTTATTAAAAGAAAATATCATATACAACAATGTAAATTAATTTGCCCAAGTATGATGATATTTTACAAATATGAAAATTTTATTAGATAACAATGTTGAAATTTGATATAAGTAACTCTTGAGTATTGCATTTTAAACTAAAAATGGAATAAAATATTTCATTTTTACAATTATATTCTCTAAAATTAATGAGAATTAAGTGTAATATATGAATAATTTTAGAACGATGTAATATGTTATTTAGTTTTAATATAAATTTATAATTTCGTTTCTTTAGAATTTATAATTTTTTTCTTTTAACAACTGTTTAATTAATAGTAGAGAAAAAGAGATAATAATAGAATGTTTATTATATTTATTATAATTTAAAATTTGAAATTGTGTAATTTCGATATATTTGTAAAGACAATACAAACAATGCATCTACTTTCAATACTTTTTCAATTTTTAATCATTATTACTTTTGAAATTATATAGTCTTCGATTTTAAAGTTTTAATACTCAATATAGTCAATTAAATAATTTTCAATGTAAAATCTTTATAGCACTACATTTCAAGAATAATTTATATATTTATTCGTTGAGAGTGTAATTTTTTTTTTTTTTTTTTTAATAGCAATATTTCAACTAAAAAATAAATATCATAACATTAATAATTGTACGAATATAATATTAAATCGTTAAATATCATTTTATAAGGTACTCGCTATTTGTTAAACAGTAACGGCAGATTATGAGCGTTTGTAGTCAATCATTATTTAGTTTCGGTGGTGCCAGGTACTTGAAAATTTTCGGAACCCATAAATTTCTGTATCTTTTAAGTTTCATGATTCAAGCGTACATTAACCATGTGAATGTGAATTTGAAAAAGGATACTTTGTCGGAGCCAGAAACAATTATACCTGTGTACACATCAAGAGTCCAAACGCGTCGTTTGCCGATTAATAAATGTTTGTGTAATGTTTTTAATAAAAGCAATAAATAACTAGGACTTTTATTTGGCAAAATTAAATGTTTAAGAGAATGTAAGTTGCGACGTTAACCTAGCCGCTTTAAATTAACATATGCGTCTACGCTTAAACGTACCGAAATACTTGGAATAATTTTCTTTGCGCTAGAAAGTACTTGCTCGTGTCTTTGCCGAAATTGTAATTATAATGGTAATTGCTTTGAAAATCGAGGTTTAGTTCGAAAATGTGCGAATGATAGGCAGAGAATCCTTATGACAGCGCCGAATCTGGGAATAAAAGGAGATAGCTGCTTGCCGGAATTCGGGGTTGGCTAAGTATCAAAATTCAGCTGCATGGGCGAATTAATTTTTGGCGAGTCTCCCGGGTCAGTCTGTTTACCTTCTCACCTGTCGGGCACTGGAATCCAGTCGTCCGTGAGCTTAATCCTCGTGGAGTTGAGTCTCGGTACGCGCATCCTCGAAGCCGACCAACTATACAACTAACTGACTAATGGGCGAGCATTTTCACGAACAGCGTCGTACAAAGACTTCCGTCCTTTCGTTTCCTGGAGCAAGCGCTTTTCATTTTATGACTACGAGCCTTAACCGGGATCAAAGTGATTTATGCGCGTTCTTAGAGCTTAGCTATTATTTCTCACTCGTTCCAAGCGAACAATCTCTCGTGAGGATGTTTTAAATAGGAAAATTTACATATTTTACTTGATTAGACGTGTTCTTGAGCCCATCACTTTATGAGGCGTTAATTGCATACTTAATCTAATGATGCTGGAATTAGCGTGAAAAGTCACAAGCTCGGAGCTCGGAATATTTAAAAGCAAATTTGTACTTAATTACTTTGGTATACCGATTACTTACTAATTATTAATTCGTCGCGATAAACGATTACAACGTAGGCTGCACATATACTTTCATTTCTTTGCGAAAGTCCTAATTCGAAGATACTAAAATACTCAATAAAGGCCATTGAGTGATCCGAGAATCGTTCTATAAATGAATGATTTTTAATGGCTCTTTCACGTTTATTGCCGCGATTCGTTATTTTCAAATGAAAAAAAGATGAAGAAGAAGAAGAAGAAGAAGAAGAAAAAAGGAACGAACGATTTTGCCACGCACCAAAGACTTCGAATCAATGGACTCAAATGCAAGCAGAATATGAAGGAGCTTGTAGTGTTTAAATAAAGCAAGGGATAAATAATGGTCGGATACCCTTAGTGCACATCAAGTTTATGAAGAGTGGAACGTACGTCCGCGTGCAAAGGGAATCTAAAAGCAGGAGCGAGATAGAGAGTGGCCGTATGGAACGCTAGACACAGGGTGGCGACAAAAAAAAGAAAGGCCAGAATTCCCGGCAGTCAAGAAGATATTTGTGTCATGAAGTATAGTGAAATAGTGGAGAGATGAAAACAGACGGATAGATGGATAGAGAGGAAGGCCGAGAAAGAGGGTAAGAGACAAATACAGGATCTACGTGAACGTGCAAAGTTGTGTTACGACGGTAAGATAATTTAATATCATTACATAGGAATGTCGACTAATTAATGCGTTAATTAATTTTATCATGCAAAATCATTAAGATAGAAAAAGAAAAAGAAAAAGAAAAAGAAAAAGAAAAAGAAAAAGAAAAAGAAAATAAAAATAAAGTATAATAAAAAAAGAAGCACTGCCGACTATAAGTTAATTTTAAGTATAAAATTACCTGCTAAGTTGCTTAAATTTCGTAGGAACTAAACGCGATTAAAATTATTAATACTTTATCCTTTATAATTATACGTCATAGTAATTCTACATTGCAACACGTTATTTAATTTTATACCTTTTAATACTAACCGATTAGATAATATTTGCAAAATAATGAAAAAAATTTATTCCTATAGAATTATTATTATTATTAGTAATTTCATTTAACGTTTAGCGATGTAAATATTAGTGTCAGTACTTAAAATGTTGAATACAAGTCATTTCATTACTGACCGTAAATCTATGTTGTCTTATATAGTTAAGTAACTGATTTACTAATTGCAGTCAGCACCGGCAAAAATTTAGCATTTAAAATGTGTTTTTTTTTACAATGACAATCTCGTGATTTGTCAATTTTATAAAAAAAAAAAAAAAAAAAAAAAAAAAAAAAAAAAAAAAAAAATCATAATGTGCAGCAATAAGAAACTATAAATTATCATATGTAAAATTTTGACAACAATAATATTACTAATTTTGATAAAAAATTTTCTTTATGTTCTTTTCTTAAACGTTTGAAATTAATGTTTTTATCGAAAAAGGTATACTAAGGAATTTTCAAGTATCATACCCAATAGTTATCAAGGTTTATCATTTATTTCAAGGTCAAAGTTGATTGCAATTTCGAAGATCTAAAAATGTATAAAGCACTGGCTCGCTGGAAAAATGTCTATTTTTTTCGGTAAAATATACGAATTAATAAATTCTTTTATAACAATACACAATTATAATTCCCATGAAGCATGTTGCATAATAAGCTTTATTTCGTGCATTGAAATGACCTACTTTGCAGTAATATTTTGAACAAGTCACGTTCCATTCATTTACATTTTATTATAGGTAACAAATATTCTTTAAACGCGAGGGTTCCCGGCATACTTATGGAATACAAATATACCTGAAATATAATTGAAATTATTTTCTTTTCTCGAATATTTTTGATATTAGATATTTCAGAAATATTACACATTTATATCGAACGGATAAATCGACCAAACAAATATATACTTCACTTTAATTTCTATTAAAGAAGTCTATTAAAGTAAAGAAAATAAAAAAACTTTTTAAGTAAAAGAATTCTGTAAAAGGCTTCTATAAATCATGGATAAGAGAATTTAAATATATATATATATATATTATCTTCTTTTTATTTAGATAAGCGTATTTGATTTTCAATTTGTAGGATTTTAATATTCTGAAATTTAATTTAATCTTTGTAATTCAATTTTCAGATTTTCATATGTTCTTTATCACTTCTTCCTTTCACTATATTCAAATTTTTAATATATTTTAGATTTCTCTTTTTTCTTTTGGATATTGCACTCGTTCTATCCTATTCTTTATATCTCTCCGTCTCGTTCTTTTATAAATCTATTTAACATAACAAGCGTAGACAAATCGGCACCACGTGAATTACATTCAAAATGTGTTTCTTTAACGTTATTCGGTACATCTATTTTACATGCACATAGTTTCCTTTATGAGAGTTACACTAGTTCAGTGGTAAATATACATTTATTTTAATTTAGATTGCGTTTTGAAATAGTGATATTTTCCTTTCTTTAAACGTTATTTAATAGTTTAAGGATTCGAGTGGAATTTTGTAAGCGATTGTTAGAATTTTCATTTGATTTGATTTTAAAAATATAGGAAATACACTCTAATCCCTTATATTAATATAAAACAAAGCTAATGAATTTATTACTAATACGTTATTAGTAAAGGCAAGCATTTTAAGTAAACGGTAGTAGTAATGAAAATTTTTTTGTCAATTTTATACATTATCGTTAAGAAAATTAAATGTATTTTGCATGGGGAAGCCTTTTTATAGATTACGGTAGTACATTTGAAATTGAATAAAATCAAAAAATTCTCCCAGAGATGATGAATTTCTTCATAAATTTTGACCAAACTAAAGGACGAAAAGTATGAAATTATAAAATCGTCAATTAAGATTAATTCATCTTTTGACTAATCAACTGTTTAGGTAGTTTGTGAATTCGAATTCACTGTAACTGTTAATAATTTTGGAGTAGAATCGGTTAAAAGCGGAGCAGCTACATTCTAACCTACAAGAGAGCGGTCAAAAATATTAAAATCCTACCATTTATCGTGCGCCAACATGTAATATTTAACAATTTTTACGTTTGATGGCCTAATTTGCAATTACACAGAGCTCATAGAAAATGTCCGTAAATTTACAACTCAGCAGAAAAAAAAAAAAAAAAAATCTGCTTCGAATAACCTAACCTGACTTTTTTTTTTCACACATCAACATAGCCGAAATTTTATAAACGATAATCTGCCCCCCGTCGCAGCAAGTAAAATATTTATCCCTTATTTCATATTAGGTATTTCCATCGTTTTACAAACGCCGTCAAAGCTCATAAATAGAGTTATTTCAATCATTACATGAACGTTAAATACGCAACAATTTTTAGAACACCAGAGAGAACACCGCACAAAAAAAAAAAAAAAAAAACCCCCCCGAAAAGAAACAAGAAAGCAGGTAACAGCGCAACGAAAGGATCGACAATACGCAAGACCAGAAAAAAGATTAACTTATAACTCAACACTTACCGAACTTCATCCATTAATCTGCTCGTTCAACACAATCTCAAAGCGAATAGACATACGTAAAAATATTTAAGAAATGTCACTAAACGCAACTCAGAGCTTGTAACGCGCCTAACAAGCCGCCACACGACGATAACCAACGCACTTGCTGGGATTTCGCATTATTTTTTACTTCGACCGATAATCAATGGGCTCTCGGGCGCGAAGAATCATCATCGGGACAATGTAAAGATTGCGATGAGAGTCCGTTACCTCGCTCGACACGACACGCTCTGCCCGTAAGATGCCAAGTGCTCGGCCAAAGAGACGAGACCGCTGGACGTGACGACGCTGACGGCGAACTTTCGAGTTCACCGATCAGCTGTACACTGCACCAGTTGCACCGACGAGACGTTTCCACGCGAGGCAATTATGCTGCTTGGGATCTGCGCCTAGGGGACGCGCCTCGAATGCTCCTCCCTCCCATTTTTACCTTTGCTTTTGCTTGAGCGTATCGATGTTTTACGTGGTGAGATGAAGAGGCGGCGCGCCTCGTTAACCAAAAACGAGATATTACGATGGATACGGTGGTTTTGAGCTGAATTGAGCGAAAATGGCGGCGATTACCAAGCCAGCCACCATTACCATCCTCTTTATGAATGGGCGTCGCGGGCAGTCCAAAAATGCAAAAGGTAAAGAGTATATACTTTTTCAAGCTATGCCGAATGCATGGCGAAAAGTAGGCTAAAGTGCATAATCCATGCCATTTTTTTTTTTTTTTTTTTTTGTCTTTTTTCTTTACATCTTCCATTGATGCAGCTTTTATACACCAAACTTTTTCGACTGCTCACGCTCCTCACTTACGTTATATTAACAGATAGCATTAATTTTTTGCTATTTCATCTTTAACAGCTCTTTGTAAATATGATAAAATTCTTTTATTATTTATCAAGTCGGTCAAATTCACAGTCGATATAATGAATTTTATAATATTACGTCATTCTTTTCTTCTTTTTTTTTTTTTTTTTTTTTCAAATACCAACCTGTTTGTGATAATACTTGTATTATTCATAATAAGGTAATTATTTTGTATGCTGGGCATAGCATTGGGAAATATTGAGAATTAAGAATAAAGTTAGAGCGTATACATATCCATTTAATGTTTATGTGCTATTTTCAATCTAAAGAATTGTATTATTTTATATGTAATTTATATAAAATAGAAAATTTTTATTGGAAATTACTTTATCCTTGTTTTATTATGAAATACAATCAAAGATCTCTGAAAATGGAATACCATATTCTTATAACACTAGAAAACTCATTTTCATAAAAATTTACACGTTGAACATTAATCCTTGTTATCTAAATTATGTTAATAGATATTTTTTTTATCCGTTATTAATTTATTAAAGTTATATATTCCCGTATCGTGTATAGTTAATATTGATATTCATGCACCAATGATAATATTTTTATTGAAATTTTGCAAGGCAGTATATAATAATAATAACAATAACAATAATAATAATAATAATAATAATAATACACATTGTACTGTAAACACTGGTATATTGATTTCTAAGAGTTATAAACCAAATATGAGATAATATTATAATTATTAATAGTGTAATTAATAATACAAGAAATAGCGATCGGCTTTCTCCTTCATACATGAGTTTGCCAAATGTTGGGCAAATATTTCAAGTACATAAATTTGAAAACACCATTTGACGATGATTGTCATCTTTCGTTTTAGCGTTTATTTTTTTTTCTTCTGATTGTTGCAGCTGCGCACACCGAAGTATTAATTAAAAGATAATCGATTACGTAATTACGACCAAGTCGTATTGTTCTTTTTTTTTTTTTTTTTTTTTTTTTTTTTTTTTTTTTTTTTTTTCCCTATTTACGATAACGACGGTCCTTTATAAATGCGTCTGCTTGGCCACTACACATGAGTTAATTATTAGAAATTATTAGAAATGTCTGTCGAGATAAGCGTACAGATGCATTAGTGTACCAATTGAATTGGTGCCATTATTATTTTACTTGTATTAAAATAATATTGTTATTACAATACAAATTTATCCCGAACGAATTCGTATAATTTGCAAACATTGAGATTATCAAGATGTAGATTGTTGGGACGAGAAAAAAAGGTTATTCTTTCGAAAGTATAAGCTGTGCATAAAGAAAAATCCCAGAAATTCAAAGTAATTTACATTGTTCGAAAATGTGTACAAAAAGTTTGTCGCAGTTTTCGTCGTGGATCATACAAAATTGTGAAATCTAATCTTTCTACAATATCCAATATCCAATATAAAATACGTTTTCGCATTTGTATACAAATATTCATTATTTACAAATATTTTCCACTTTTTTTATTTTATTTTATATATATATATATATATATATATATATATATATATGAGCAAAAGTCTATTGTACTCTAGCAATTAAAAAAAGAAAAAAAGAAAAATTTAAATCACGCGAAGAGTATTTTTTTTTTTTTTTTTTTATACATGCCACTTAATTGTTTATTACAATATTATAATACTCGCATTGGCGCGCTTTATTTTTATGGATCAATGCTAATTTCTCTTTTAGCTTCATAATTTTCAATGTAAATAAATGCCACGAAAAATCAACGTGCACGATGATTTACGTTGTTTGCACATATATTTCTCCACTAGGGCTTTGTCAATGGCATTACACGACGAATGACAGCGCGCAGATAATTTTGTACGTTTCGGGGAAGACTACTGGCGGACGATTAGATAACATCGCGTGCCTATGGCATCCGAATCGAGATTTGGCACTTGATAAGAATAACGAAGGATTATCGACATGATGCTGGAATACCACAGGCGCTGCGACATTTTGCCAGCAATACAAAGTTCAATATCGGCTTGAGAATTCTCCGAAGCGTATTGGTTAAGAGCATTATTTATGCTCGTGTGTTTTTAGTTTGTCGATTTTGAAAACTCATTGCTCGAAAAGACGGACGCACCTCACACATTAGAACAAATTTTTTTTTTTTTTTTTTTTTTTTTTTTTGTATTAACTTATAAAACTTTTTTTTTTTTTCATTTCCATTCTTTTCCTCCCTCGTTCGTGATTGTTTTTAATATCTACGTACGTTGACTACATACGTATAAAAAATGCCAGCGCCAAAAAATATATAAATCATTTAGCATTTTGATTTTTTTTTTTTTTTTTTTTTTTTTTTTTTTTTTAAGGAAACTCTCCTTTCTCGTTTGTATTTGATGTTGAAACAAACAAAAACAAAAACAAAAAACAAAAGAAAAAAAGAAAATTAAATCGTTTTATAATCGTCTCTGTCATGCTTACGGACGACATACGTAATTAATACTCTTTATCGTCGTAAATTTTATTTTTTAAAGCCTTAAAGAGCTTTAGTTAGTTCTATACTATCCCTATTATCAAAACAGCCAAACCAACTTGGGAACTTACACCTTGCTTGTGCTCTTTGTGTGTGTGTGTGTGTGTGTCTCTCTCTCTCTCTCTCTCTCTCTCTCTCTCTCTCTCTCTCTCTCTCTCTATCCCCTTCGCCTCCGGCCACTAACCAACCACGCATTATTTCCGCACCACGTTAGTACCCTTTCTCTCTTCCTTTCTCTATGTCGAAGATTCTTTCGCTTTTTGCATATCTTACTCGATTCACGCGAATTTCTTAAATTAATTACCCTCCTCTGTTCAGTGTATGCGTGTATGCTACTCGTATATATTTGCACTGATGCGCTAACGTTAAGGAAGAAAAATAATAATAAAAAAATAATCATAATAAAAATAAAGTGCCGTCTTTGATTCCCTTAAAAAGAAGAGTTAACGCTAACAAATGCATTCTTCCATGCTCGTCAATTGCGTTGTTCTATGCGGGGAAACTCCCACCACAGGCTGCATTGTCGCTTCGTTTATCGAGACGAGTGCGCGCGCTTTTGTACCTTTATGTGTACATCTGTGTCTGTACGTGTATTTGCTTGCGTGTTTGTTGTGTTGAAGGGCCTGTGATTCTGTAATTACGTAATTACGTGATTACGTGTAAACGTGTAAGGGCACGAGTAGATGGTTGCGCGCGTGCATTCTGGTGTACGTATGCATGTGTAAACACATGGAAGCCAATGACAACAGTGGCGTATATGCGAAGGCCCAGCTTCGTCGATTCGTCTAATCGTCGTTGACCTCGATGGGGATGCTTGTGGTAAATGTCGGTGTCTCAAGCTCCTCGTGTTTCTTCATCTTCATACTCTACGGGCAAAAAATAGAAAACGAGTGAGCATTGAAGTTGGACTAGCATTTTATGATTACAAGTCATTTTTCGATAACATTACTTTCGCTTAGACCCGCTGTTACATTTAATTGTTTAATATTTTCATTTCCGGCTAATTGATTCAAATGGCCAAATGTCGAGTATAATCATAATACTAAAGGGGATAAAGTAACAAACCGAAGCATCGAAGAGTAAAAGTAAGTAGCTTTTATTGTCATTTCATTATAAAATCGTATACGCCCAATGCGCATATTTATTAAAAAATTTTATATCGATGTCCATAAGATACTTATAAATGAAAATATAAATATTGAAATTAATAAAGCAACCTACTGTATCGTTACTTCGTTAATAAACTTACAAAAGTACTAACTTTTATGAAACTAATAGGTAGTATAGTAACGTATATACAAGCGCACGCGCACACACAAAAGAAACATAATAACTGCACAATTGTTTGACAAATATTACAATGAATTACATTAATGCTTAAAAGTTGCTATTCTATTATTTTTCATTTATTGAAATATTAGGACTTTGATTATCTCGATTATCGACTGTAAAAAAAAAAAAAAAAAAAAAAAAAACAAAGGGTAGAAGATAGAGAAAAAAATGTGTCGAAACACAAGTCTCGCGAAGCATGCGTATTCCATCGCGTTGTGTGGCCAAACGATAAAAAAAAAAAAAAAAAAAAAAAAAAACACAGTACCCGAGTAGCTGATGTCGAGGTGCTCACCTGCTGAAGCTTGTAGTGGTTGATGATATCCTGGTCGGCGGGGCAGCTCTGCAGAAATGCATCGAGCCTGTACATATGATGCATATATCGCCAAAGGTGCACCATACTCTCTGGTATCTCGAAGTCCGCAAAGTATTTGCCGGCAACGCGGATGTGCTGGAGTCGAGGCATGAGCTCGCAGTCGAAGCAGCACATCGTATCGCCCGTGAGGAAGCGCGTACCCTTGCGCCCGAGATGCTCGTCGATCTTACGCAGATGGGCCATGAGCGAGGACGACTTCGGGTCCTTGTCCTTGTCCTTCGCATTCAGTAGGAGCAGCTTTAGCTTCTGCGAGATAAAATTTATAAATGACGTACCCAACAAGCAGTACTCTTGAAACTACTCTCTCTTCCTTCAAATTTCAGCCGTTACCATGTATACGACCTCTTTAACGCAATTACGATCGGTTATTTACTACGATAAATTTCAATTACAGTTTTGCATTTTATTTTTTACAGCTGCATATAGAATACATTACTTGCCGACAAACACAGCTGCATTTATTTTCAGCGCTGACCTACTAAAATTACGCATTTACTCTTAGATCGTTTAGGGTCAAAGCACTGTTGTTTCATAAAATTATATTTTACGAATAAATTGTTATCGTTTTTTTTTTTTTTTTGTTGAATATCTCATCTAATGAAAGAAATTAAAACGAAAGCATTAGGTGCGATTCATAACCAATTAATATTTTACAGCTTCATTTATTCTACTAAAAGCAACAGAACAATCATTTAATCTACTTATAAACATATATACACATACAAATAAATAGATATATTAAGGAGCAATGAAAGAGCAAAAAAATAGAAAAAGTTAATTTTTTAATACTAATACTTTCATAAAATTTTTATTATTATAATGGCTGTAGGAGAAAAACGATGAATTATTACTTAATTGCATACAAAGTTCGACATAATGTAAGCGATAATAACTCTTCATTGTCTAAAATGTTAAGAGATGATTAGTCATGAGAAAATCGATCGTTCTCAATTTTTCTGCAGTTAAATATAGGGACTAATGAAATAACAAATTGTCTCTTTGATTTTATCAATCTATCTTAAATACAGCATACAATAATAAATCTATTAAATTATAAATATTACAGTTAATGCAATATAATTAAAATAAACATCAGACTGTTAAAACATAATGTTTTCCAAATAAAACTTTTGTATATATGTGTTATAATATTTTCTACTTATATTGATATTATAATTAGAAAAACATTATGACTTGAGTTATTAAGTTTAGTTTTATTTATTTATTTAATTTCATTAGACTCGTAGGTATTATAATTTGAGCTGAGCCAAGTTTTTCTTTTATTTTTAAAGTTACAGGAATTTATTTATCAACGATATGAAATTAAATCTTTGTTTAGTATGTTCTTAGACACATTTCTGCCTATTGGAATTAAAAATTTATGCTTCTGTATATATGTTTTACATTGCAATTGTAATGTGCAATTGTAATCTCATGATATGCGATTGCTTCAAACTAAATTAATTAAATAAATCTTACTATGTTATTTACTATCAAGTATAGACAAATCATAAATAATCGAAGGAATCACTAATACATAATTAATTGTAAATTCGATATTGAAAAGCTAATTAAATAGTTTCGTCGTGATATGTACGTATCGTGATATGTATTATGAGGCAAACAATGTTTAACAATGATCCTTTATTCAATAGGAGAAATATAGATTACGAGAAGAATATGATTAGATATAACCAACTGTAGATTTGTGTTAAAAATGTCTAGTATTATTATCTTTTTTTTTTTTGTTTTGTTTCTTATTTATTTATTTATTTATTTATTTTTTATTATATTTATTTTTGTTTTTTTTGTTTTGTTTTGTTTTGTTCAAATACTCATGTGTATGCGTAAATAATTTAATTGATCGGAGAAATGAAAGTTAAGGGATAACTTGTTTTTAAACGTACGTAATTACCGCGTGTAATTTGATAATTGTACAGCGTATCATTAGAGCAATTTAACTTTGATCCTTTCGTATCGTTCGCCATAAGAGTATAAAATTAGCCTAGGATGAAACTTACGCTGAAGAGATTCTCGACCAAAGTCGCGACGTCCTTATCCTGGACGAAGAGATTGTAGCCGCCGGGTATGTTCTTCATTATATGCCGCTCGATCTTCTCATTCTCTAAGATGGCGTCGCCGTTATCGATGAGGATCGGCGGCGGCGTAGCCTGAAAGTTAGTGCGGAAATCCGGTGGAGGCTTCTGCATATCGACGGTCGTCACCTTCAGGGAGATCGTCTTGAGCTCGGCAAGTAGGTAGAGATCCATAAAGTATTCTTGACAAAACAGGCAAGCGCCTTTTCTGCGTCCATCGATCGTCGAAGCCTGAAATACAATATTGACAAACTGTTTATTTTCATATTTTCATAATTTCTGTAACGCACTCTCATATAAACATTACAAGCTTAGGCGATTTATTTGCGAATAAATATTAAAGACTTTTTTTTTTTTTTTTTTTTTTTTTTTTTTTTTTTTTTTTTTTTTTAATGAACATCCGCCACGTGTGCACAGTAGCAATTATTCTAATCAATATCATTCAACATTAATTTATTCAGAATATACGTTACTTTAACTATTAAATTATGATGCTTTATATTTTCAGTTTAAAGCACGTCTTTTCATTTATCATTAGCTTGTAGAATCTCATTAAAGTTATAAATAATATTCATTGATGACTAATGATAAATTGCATAAAAGCACAATCACACGCTATATTATATTATCAGGAATTTAATTAATAAAAAAATCGGCCATGAACGACCATCGACCTTATGCGCGACATTTGTAAAATGTGAATATTTTAATGGCGAGACTACGGAATATGTTATCACGATTGCAAGTTGAGCAATTATCCAAGGTTCGAAAACCATTAAAATCTTAATTTTTTTAAATCAACAATTATAAATAGATGATTTAACGTATCTCGATACTATTCAATATGCTTTGATAAATTGGTATATGTAAAATTGAAAAGATAGTTGAGAAAACAACAGTTGGCTATGAATATTTATAAAAAAAAAACGCGAAGTAAGGTCTTACCGACAGCAATTGTAGGCGAAGCGAAGGATTATTTATTCGCCTCGATAAATCGCGGTGCGGAGACACTTCCTGCGCCGACAAGTAGCAAATTTGCCGGAATTCTGTGTCACACGGACTTCCTAATTCCAAAGGAGATAGCATATCGAGTTGAAAACATCTATCGAGCGATTTATTGTACTGTATTACTGCTGTTCCCGTTTTCATAATCATCGATTCCCAATCTGAGCCACGGCAACCTACGCATTTCTTCATCAATGCGACTCGATACGACAGGGATTTCTCGGTTTCTCCTCCGCGCATCGCGATCGTCCAATTTTCTCTTTTTCAAGCGCATGCGCACTCGAGCACTCGATAACCCAATCCTTGCGCGTAATTATTCTTTATGCTATGGCAGTAATGCCAGACTGACTTGGCAATACCCTCACCACGCCGTCGATACATTTAACCTACTTTGTGCACTGAGCAATCTGTTCTCTCTCTCTCTCTCTCTCTCTCTCTCTCTCTCTCTCTCTCTTACCCGGAGCCTCGAGCAGGCGTATGTAAAGAAGGGAGAAGCAGAGAGATGAAGGATAAATGGCTTCACAACAGGAGAGAACATTATTGTACCTGCACGATGATAAATCGAACTTGGATGTTACATTGTTATGGTTATTTATATGTAGTACGAATAAATGATTTATGGGAAGATGAAAGCACAAGTATGAAGAATTATAATGCTGTTTTATATATAGAGTGCGTCATTGGGGAGTAAGATCGCTTGTGTTTACTATGCAAAGGTGTACTACTTTGTACTTTGGACTTTATCTCGTTAAGTAATAAACATATTTCCATGAAGCATGTATTTAAAAAACGAATTTTAATAATGCTTCGTCATTTCATTGCCAGTGCTAATAACAATAACTTTAACAACCCGATATGACATTTTAATTGAATAAAAAGTAATGAGCATAGAGCAAAAAATAATGCGCGTTAACTTGATGCATCGTGTTAAAAGAGATAATGCATGTCCATCTATTACGTATGTATTAAATGAGATTATACGTGTCCAACGGGCAAATATCACACGAATAGAACAAAGAGACGCGGTGCTAATTATTATAATTCCTTGGCAGTTGCCGTTGTAACAATTGCGCTATAACGAGGTACATTGCTCGTTTTGTTCTCTCTACGGAAAGTTAATGAAATCGAGCTTAACCGCTCCATTAAAGCCTACCAAAGCATTCTTAAATACTTGCGCCAGCAATATATTATTGTTTGATAATATTCGATAAAATTGTATTTGAAAGGCAAAAGAGTTCTCCGTCGAGTTGCAATTGGTGTTGGGCCAACAACCCAAGGACATGCAAAGTATAGTTTTAGCCCGAGGTAATGCACGATTAGTACTATCGTCAATAATTAGCAGAGCAGCATTTATATCTTAAAGCGATGGTTAAGTAGTTTACGAGAAAGGCACAGTACTTATTACACAATAATACCAAAAGTGGCATCCTTATCAAATTCTGCCTCGTGCATGAGTAAATGAGTGTTTGAAGCTGTAGCAGCCAAGTGGCTATAATCTTCTCTGCGTTATCGGACGATGTGGGAACGAGCTGCAGCCAAGAGCGAGATTCCCATTGCTACCAATTTTCGAATGTTGCGAACGTTGCGAACGTTGCGAACGTTGCGAAAAGTCGCATGAAAAAAAGCCGAGACATGCTCAAAGTGTAAGATGAATCGGCGGGAGGAGGCGGATGATATGCATTAGTATTGGCGAGCGCATCGTTAGCGCCCACTCGACTCGGCATTACGTGACTTTCGTACTTTTCGCGTAGCCGGCGTCCTCCGACATTCGCAATTACGTATCATTACGCGCGAGCTCACCATCTCGCTCTCACGCTAATTCTCTTGGCTTATCGCGTGTCTACCGCTGCCGCCGTCGATTCATTCGCTTCGGCGATACTCAACGTCGCTCGCGGCTGTCGCGGCCGATATTTTTCAGCTCCACGACGACTTCATTAAATGGAAAATAACCGTAAGGGTTTGGCTCTAAGGATCTAGCCAGCCTCGGAAGCCTATGTCGTTGATTTTACTATTTCATTTCTATTTCACTTCTTTCATATACTTTTAATCAATGTATTATACGTAATTTAACATAGCGTGGCCGAATATCCGAATAATCGAGAAATTAACTGTACAGTACTTAATGTCTACCTATCAAACACTAATAAATAAAACCCCTGTGTCTTATTTCACAATATACTTTAATAATACTTACAGCCAATGATAATGTAACAGATAAAACGAAGACGCAACGATTATTTTACATTATTTTAATTAGTTGCCACATTGAATGTCATATGGGCAGAATGTTGAATTTGCAACAATTACATTCTCGTTTATTTCATTGAACTTTTGTGTATAGCTAGTGAATTATTTAATTGATCGTTAAGTATATATCCCTGCAATAAAATGTAACATTAAAAGAAATCTCATAAATTTTAATAATAACGGCATTTATACGCGCGCGCTTATAAAAATGCGTGTACATAGTTATTAAGTAATAGCAATGCTAATATATGAAAAACAAAACACAAGCTCAAAAGTAAAAATATCACTATAATTTACCATATTATCTTATTATTAATTTTGTATTAGAAAAGCTTAAAATGCAAGTAAATTTTTATTATTTACTCTTGTTTTATTTATCATTTTACCATACGCGCGCTTGTCTTTTTGCTGCGAATACAATATTTCAATATTTCAATATTCATCTTTTTGTGTGATGCAACAGTAGTCTTCTCGTACAAGCCAATTGTTAATATAAACCGTTTCTATATTCACTTTTTGGTATTTCACGTATGATGCATAATCGTTTATGGCTTAACGATGCGTCGCTTTAATAAACGGATCGAGTAATTTATGCTGGTGTACGGCGATAAAGGTCATATTGAATTGATTTATCGTGCAAAATTTTAGAACTATAGTTTATTATAGTATCATGGCGAATAAATAATATGAAATTAACGAATCAATATGATCGGATGTTTTCTCAATTGGCTTACGATCAAATTTAAATGTGCGAGTTATCATAAATTATACGACTAATCATTTTGAATGCCAACTCGACTTGCAAGTAGCAAATCTTTTTTGTCTCTTTCCATAATTACATGATTTTGATAAGAGTATTATTGCCTAAGGCCATAGAATAGGGCGATAAGGGACAAATAATAAATCGACACAGCTTTCGCATTCGTAATCCAATTTTCACTTTCCCGTGGACTTAGTGAATTGTGAATTCAATCGAATTAACCGTTACACTTTGCCTCGCGCAGCCAAACGTCAAAACCCACGATCTCCGGCTTATCGTATTTCACCCAGGGGGGCGCAATTCAGCAGAAGCTTTACATCCTCGTCGACGTCCGGAGTCATTCCCGGGGAGTCTACGCAACTCGTTCTACGGGCGCCTTTCAGGAATGAACGGTGCCGGTTACGCAATTCGCGAATGTCAAGGCCTTCGCCTCCTCTCCACTCTCATCCTCCGCGCGGGATTTCGCGACTGCGCGTTCGCCTCGCGCAGGTGTTTGCGAATCACGGTAATGATTGGAGACTTTTATTTACCAACGCGGGGATTAGCGACTCATTTAGCGAGAGAGCAATTAGATGATATGAGAAGGATTACGGGCGACTCGGAAATAGTAGACAGACTTACGAGTGATATATCGATGTTATTTGATGGACTCGCGTAGGGATGAACGATAATCGTTTGTTGTTACAAGTTAACGCTATTCAATGTCAATGCTCTTGTTCTTTCCCCCCCCCTTTATATTATTCGAGGACATTTGCGGATATGCGAATTTGTAGTAAAAATTGGTCGCTACTATGAAATTATGTTTCATCGCTGTTTATCGATCGAAGATGTTAAGATTCGTAAAAAAAAAAAAAAAAAAAAAAAAAAAAAAAAAAAAAAACATTTTCACGCGATGCTTATTACATTGGTCTCTCATCGGACTAATATGCAAATAATACAGATTCAATCAAAACATAGGTGTTTTACGACACGGTATATCATGAAATTGTAAATGAATTCGTCCTCCTCGCATCACAAGCAACATCGTTCACATTATTACGACAGCTTGGAACGATAATTGAGTCGAAATTGTTAAAGTACAGCAGGAA